ATAGAGTGGTTTGCATTAGACCCTTTCTGTAACTCATGCTGGGTCACATATGTAAAAACACACACACACACACCTGCATTCTGTTGTATTTTTGTTAAAGCAAGCAAGTTCAAGGAAATGGCTGTGTGTTTCTGCATATCAAGACTTGTGAGGGTCCTTATATGAGAGTTTACTCAACAGGTCCCTTGGGGAACAACCAATGACTGTCCCATATGTATCAGAGCTGCAGCATGTATGATTGCTGAGCAGGTACTGGAAAAGAATCATTGATTTTTGTGAATTAAAAAAAAGAGCACAGAAAGAGCAGAGGAAAGCCAAGTGTAAAGTGTAGGGCATTTGCAGGTCATGGGGGGATTTAGACTGATTTCTCCAAGCTGATTTGCTGTAAATTTTCCAATGCTTAGCTATTAAAGGAGTGTCAGAGATTTCAGGTTTTTTCTGTTTTCCCAGCAATCTTCCTTAACTTCACTAAAATACATCTTTGTGATCCACCCAAGTACTGGTCCAGTCTTGGGATATTGGTACTGGAAATTGCATTTTAGGGATAGAAGATGTTTGTCCTTTTAGGAGGGCTATAGGAGGATATCCAGGTGTCATATGACTTGACCTTAATGAGACTTACTGCTCTGAAATATAATCTGAGTGTCCATTTGTTCTAATTATAATATGCTTCCTTGACTAGTCTGAGCTTGAGGCACACAGCTACTGGGTATAAAAACGAGGGTTACAGAAAAAGAGAGAGAAGTTAAAGAACTGAGTGTACTGACAAGAATTGAATGGACAAAAGAAAGCTCCTACCTGATAAGGTATTGCTCTAGTCACTATCTGTGGACTGCAAAGATTTTGTATGAAGGGAGTAAGAAAGATGTGAGGAGCAGAACAACACATTTTTTTGACCAAGAAAAAATATTTCTGTGAAATATTGGCTTCTAGTTTGACAGGAGTGAGACACATTTAGATATGTGAATGCATTGCTACAAAAGCATTAAAATTTTGCTTTGGGTGATCTGTAGTTTTGAGGAACTATGCATTTGTTTAGTGATCTGAACCAGTCCAGGCTTGCTGTATTTTATTTTTTTTTTACTGCTTTCAGTCAGAGAATCACAACAGCAACAGAGAAGGCTATATGAACCTGCTATATACTATTTCAAGGTGAAAAAATTGTTAGCCTGTGGACACCTAATGGGGAAAAAGCTCAGCGATAAGAGAATTAGTGTGAGATAGTAAGGTATCCACTTGTCTGTCACTCATATCACTGCTACAAGATAGAGTAGCATCCAGGCAACATCAATAGCAGTCTTGTGGTGCTGTGTCTTTCAACTGGTTCAGCTGCCTCTTTAAGGTCAAAATCTGTTTTGACACCCTTCCTCTTTGTCTCTTTAAAGCTGCTCAAAAAATTATTTGTACCTTGTGTTGCCATGACTCCTAAAAAAAAAAAAAAAAAAAAAAAAAAAGCAACCAAAACCTTCCAGTTAGAGAAGTGAGAAGCTGCAGAGCAGATAGTAGCAACAGAGCTCGATGTTCCTGCAGGAACATGCTCACAGTATAGCAGCACTTCCCAGCTTGAAGTAAAAGAAGGCTTTGGGAAGAAAAAAAAAGATAAAAATAAAGCATCATAGACAAATAAAGTTTGGTTTCCTATGGATTTAGTGTCAAGATTGATTGCAGGCTATGACTGAAGCTTTTCCCATTTTAGGGCATTTATAAATACTGTTTCACATGTAGATTCTCTGCTGCCTGATACAAGCAGCTCACATTTTGGTTTGCTCTACTGTGGGAATCCTAAAGAGGTTTTCTGTCCTCCACCACCCATCAGGTGTTGATCTGGATTTGACAAGCCATGAGGATAGGCAAGGATTCACAGGTAGATATGTTTACAAGTATGTAAATGTAATGTGATCACTTGGGCTTTATTTCCATTGGAAATCAGGATTAAAAAAATGTTTTTCAACTTTAAAAATAATTTGTGATTATCTTTTGAAGTGAGGGAGAGTGGTGACACTACTTATTTTATCCAAAACTTTTTATAATATCATATAGTATATTTACACATCGTAAAAGTATATTCAAAATAAAACCCCTTGTTGCCAGTGATTTAAGCTGTCAAATAAAAAAGGTATGCTGCTTTCCAGCTGAAGAAATGTATTAGCATGCAGAAGGCAATGCTGCTTCCTCTGGGAGGTTTTAATCAAGCCTCTTGTACTGATTGAGATGCAGTGCTCAAAAGTAAGAAAAATGATTAACAAAATCAAAAATCTAGAGCGTTTTTCACACAAATATTCATCAGTATATCTTATGTAATTACATAGCCAATAAATCAACATAGTATGTAAGTGCTTCAGTCACGGTGTAAATATCTTAATGACTGAAACATCTTCACGTATGAATAATTTATACCTGTATGATTCATTTTTCATATCCATGCTTTACTTCAACATGATAAACTAATCCTTCTCTGTCAGGGAATGTGTGCTTGATTATTGCCTTCTGATTTCTCTTTCTTGTGTTGATTTTCCACAGTTAGACACACTCCATTTCTTCTCTTCTGGTTCCTCTAAGGTAGTTATCTTATTTATTCATCCTGTCTGCCTTGGTTTGCTTTCCCTGTGCATTTCAACAAGCACCTGGGAAATAATGCTAGGGCATAAGCTGATCATGCATTTCTCAAGTAACTCGGGAGCAGCATCTTGAGAGATTTACTCATTCTCAACAGATACTTGCATTTAGTTTCCTCTCCTCAAGGCAATCGTTAGAGAAAGAACTTGCAATAGGCCAATAACAGGTCAAACTTTGCCATTTTCTGGATCGATGTGAGTTCAAGCCTTTGTCACAGTACTGATGACAAATGTTTGAGTCTTCTTCCCATCTGTTTGTAAATGCAAGATTGTTCGTAGCTCCAGAATCCACTGGAATATTCAAGAATAAAATAATTGTTTCTCAGCACAGGAACGGGAATCAGGAATTCTTAAATTCTGCTCTGCTGCGTGCGCTTATTTGGCTGTATGCAAGTCATTGCATCCATCAGCCTTACTTAGGCCCTTAACCGAGGCATGTAAGACAGGAATTTAATTGTGATAACCTCCTTCTTTGGTTGCTAGAGAAAGGCAGGTAGCTGCTGAGGGCAACTCATCCATCTTTAAAGCTATTTGCTGCCTGAAGCTCCAGGGTGGTGCTACTGGGTGGTAGACTCTCTTTGGATCACAATTTAAAGTTCAGTTTGGATTTGCTTATTTTGGTAGTGCCTGTGGAAGTTCAATCCCAGTTGGACACAAAAATGAGTCACTCAGTTTTAATGGGAACTTTCAAAAATATTAATTTTCCCCTTCAAACCCTCAGGTTTCTAACTGAAAAAAAAGAGAACAGGAATATAAAAATTATTTCAAGTTGTTGGGGAAAAAGAAGTTCTGTAATAATTAACTGATGCTTCACTGGTATTGTATGTTATCCCATCCAAGCACCTTTTTTCACTCCATTTCTATATGCAGTTTACCTACATTACTCTAACTAGGAAGAGCACCTTAGCTGATTATTAGTTAATCAAACTCTCATTCAATTTCTTTTATGATTGTATAGCTTGTTAGTTTTGTACAATAATGTATTGTTTCATAGTCTTTCTCTTCTGTGTCAAATTTATATTTTTGGACTGATTTTCTAGATTTAAGACAGAATGGAATATCTTTTATCTGTCATCTTCATACTTTGAAGCCCAGCTGCAGTTCTTTTACAGCTTCAATCTCAGGGACTTCTGAGAGGCATCACAGCTTAATGTTTTCTTAGTATTCTTACAGCGGGCTGCAGTGTTCTGTGAATACAAATCTCTCCTATTTGCTAGCAGGACATTTGGTAACTTTGCTCCAAGATCGGTCTTTGTTTATTCATTTTTTCCTTATTCTGATTGTGAGCACCTCCAAAGGCTTTTGTTATCACTTTCTTTGTCTCAGACTTTCTATGTCCTTAAAGGACACCTTTACTTACTGTATCTTACTCCACTGAGATCAGTTGTTGATCAATGGGTATCGGTTAGTAGGAGTTCTCAGGCAGTCTCCAGAATGTACTTCATCCTTATCACTGCCTGTTGTGTTTTGGCATTTAGGAAGCAGCCTGCTGTCTTTTTTCTTTGTTCTGTCTAGCACTTGTCTCTCTCGGGCATAGTTCCTCACCACAGTCGTCAATCATGATGTTACTGCCTCCTATTTTTCCGCTTTCTTTTTTCAGTGTTGGTCATTTACTATCTGTGCCCTGTTGCAAGGCAGTACTTTATCCAGTGACAGGATATTGCAAGAATCTCCTGAACCTCCTCATAGAATTGTAGAATTGTGGAATGATTTGGGTTCAAAGGGACCTTAAAAATCATCTAGTTCCAACCTCTCTGTCACAGGTAGGGACACCTTCCACTAGATCAGGTTGCTCTTCACATGCATTTTGCTTTAACTCCTACAGTTTGTAGCTCCACTTCCATCATTTTCTCTTAAGTTCTCCGTACTTTCTGTGAGAGATTTCTGGTAGACCCTTTCTTCACCTTCTTCATTTGATTATTATAGCTGTTGTCCACAGACCTCCCCCTTCTTTTCTGAAAATTAATTTAGCATCTTTCTCTGACATATTCACCTGTTCATTTTTTTCAGGTAATTTTCTACTTTTTTTTTATTCTATTTCTTCAGCATGCCTGTTTTAAATTCCAGATGATTTTTAGCTTCAGTCGTTCAAGAGAGTAATCCACTAACATATCCTTGTTCCCCAACCTGGTCCGTCTCTGATACTGACACACTCAGAAGCTTCCAGACATCTCAGATTCACAAACTTCCTCTTGTTTTTATAATTTTCAACATTAAGAGCTGATTCTTGACACTTAAACAGATGCTATTCCATAATTTCTTTAAGTGGCATGTTGTCTGGTTAGAGAAATAGAATAGCCACAGAGATTTTATGCGGGAAAATGTGAAAATGGCGTAAGTACCACTTCGGTATAATACTGATCTTTTGTTGTCTAATTTTAACAGATTCAGTAGCAACAGCGTCTGGGCCACTGCTAGTTGAAGTTGCTAAAACTCCCGGTGCTGCTCTTGGTCTTGCACTAACTACCTCGATGTGCTGCAACAAACAGGTCATTGTCATAGACAAAATCAAATCTGCGAGTATTGCAGACAGGTGAGTGTGGCAGAGGGCTGGCACTGCAGGTCCACACGTCCATTTTATTTCTACGTTGGTTTGGTTTGGTTTTAAGACACCCTTCTGTTTTTTGATAAAATTGACTGAACCAGATGCTGTCAAGGTTGTAGGTCTTAAAATTAGCGCTTTGTCAGATCATTGTTCCATGCTGCCAAGTTTAAGACTTCCAGGTCACCATTTACTTTAGCTCATTCATGTAGTATTCAGTGACATAAGCCAGCCCCCATGTAATACGTGACTGTCTGCTTGCACTGTGCAACACAGGAGCTTAGAGGTCTGCTCTGACTATTAAATGTAACGCTGTGTCAGAGATTAGTATTTAAAAAAATAAATAACCCACTGGAATTCTTAAAGTAAGCCCACAATATGGAACAGCTGTCAAGGGAAGTGAATTTTGAGGCTTTGCAACCTTGAGGTGTTCTTTTAGAATATATCACTCATTCTTGTGGCACGGTGAAATGGAACTCCTTATGTCTGGATTTTTTCATTGATATTTCAGAATACAACTGAGGTATTAGAAAGACTGGCTTCTGTATCTTGAAGTTATTTTGCTGTAATATTTCCACTTCATTTAGACCTTTAAAAAAAAAAATTAAAAAAAAAAAAAACCAGATATTTTTCCCCAGTGGTCTAAACCTCTGTAACACAGCTGTGGGATGTTTTCTGGGGTGCGTGTGTGTGTGTGTGTGTATGTGTTTATACATATACAGTATATTTCTGTATACATATCTCTATCTAAAAACTCCTTAAATATTACGTTTCAGCAGCAAATTCCTCCTGCATGTCCCCAGTCACCCCACCTTGTAACGCCTCTGACAACGGTGCTTTTGGTAGCACCCACTTGTAGCAGTGAGTCTACAGCTCCTTTGTGGGCTTTTCCCTACAGTAGAAACTTTGAGAGTGACGGCCATTGATCCAGGGGTGTTCTCCAGTTCAATGGTGCAGGATGCTTTAATTTTCTCCCTCTGTTTTTTCCCATTTCGCAGGGGGTAACCAATTAAAGGAGCTGTCCACTTGACTGGTACGTCGGGATGCTGACTGCTGTGTTTGCATTTCTCAACTCATCCAGTAGCCAGTCTCTTGAGTGCAGCGAGATTTAGCAGATAGCCCCCTCCCTACCCCACTCCTCAAGTCACCTTGCTAGCCCTGGTTTCATTATTTGTTTGACTACTGCATAATTTCATCATCATTTACAGCTTTTGTACTAATAAATGTTTGAACTATAACTCAAAAAATGATGAACTGGGTGCTTCCGTGAGGGATATGTGACCAAGTTATTTGAGTCTCCTTAAGCTCTTCTCATTTTATTCTGCTGCCATTCACACATATTTTTCTAGTCAGCTAACCCATTCCAGTTCTGTGAGTGGTGTCTTGGCATATACTGTATTAACTGAATTGTTTTTAAGGTTTGTATTAATAGATGTAAAGTCTGACCAGTGACAAAGCCTACAAAACACAAATCTCTCTCGAAAAAAAAGAACACGTTCATAGTTGTCATGACCAGTTTGAAGGCAGTAAAACTCACTTTCTATGCAGAGAGCATACCTGATCATACCAAGTTTTTTCCCTTTTATGTAGATGTGGTGCATTACATGTAGGAGACCATATTCTGTCCATTGATGGCACCAGCATGGAGTACTGTACGCTGGCAGAAGCAACACAGTTTTTGGCTAATGCAGCAGATAATGTCAAACTTGAGATCCTTCCTCACCACCAGACACGGCTAGCACTGAAAGGACCAGAGCACGGTAAGAGAATCTGTATCACCAAATAGCCCTTCCTTTTTCTGCCTTTTGCTTTGCCTGCCCTTCCTAAATGGCCAAGAAAGCTATTGCAGCAGTTATGCCTGTAAATGTTGTTTCAGCTCCCCAGGTTATACTTCTGCAGTTTCTGAGAAGCTCTGTGTTTCCTCAGCATTAATGTACCCTCCGAGATTGCTGTGGATAGAGAGGGAAATGTTTTACTGAGAAATGGCTCTGCACACTTGTAGATGTACATAAAGACACCTGTTGACTCTACTGTTGCAATCATTGGGGGGGCAACCAGATACTTCAAGTAAATTAATCTCTGAATTGCTTCTTAAATTTAGAGGGGGGGAGGAAGGACCACAGCCAACTTCTCTTTAGCATATTGACTTGATAGTCTGTTATGACCACTTCATTAATAACATCTGTTCTCCCCTAAAATGACCACCATATTTTCTCATTGATGGCATTATTATTTATTGCCATCATCTTTTAAAGTGCTTCTGAGACTGCCTCGGGTTCACTGTCAATGCTTATGAAAGAGGTTTGTTTGGAAACAGTGTCCTATATCCCAGCCCTTTCTCACGGATATTAATTTCAAACCAACATGCTTGAAAATAATGGCTTTCAATTTTCAAATCAAATATAAAATGTCTTAGTGTTTGAAGATGGGGGCTGCCTGTCTTGTCTTCTAACTAGTCCTGAGAGAGTGTCTAATTCACAGTGTTCATAAATTCAGTCTAAAATACTGCATGTGGACAGACATCAAAGTATCAAGGGTTATCAAATACACAGAGAATAGGAGCCTGTGATGCAACATGAACGAGTGGTACCATTTTCTGAGCCTGTGGTACTGTGCTTCTGCCTCCTTTAGACCAAGACAAGATTTCTGAGGCCTGGAAATATCAGTAATGGTAAATGTTCTTGGACATCTATCTAAGATCCAGGCTGTCCCTGGATAAACAATGCTCTAGTCAGTTTGTCAGTGGTGAATATTGAACCTAGTGGCTGAGGAGACACTGGTTTCTCCTAGACCAGGATGAACAGAAGGTACCCTTGTGATACCATGTTCTTACATTATTCATCTGCACCTCTTTCCCCTTTCTACGTAAGCTGGCTAGAGGGGCAAGGGAGCAGAAGCAGAATGAGATGGAGACCAAATTTTGCAATGTATTTCCATTATTTTCAGTTATGACAGTACGTTGCAAACAGCTTTTTTGAGTTTTTGACAGGAAGATGTCACACAATCAATTTCTGTCTGGTTAAAGAACCTCTAAAGAGTGTTTCTTCTGGGTAGATGAGTACTAGGGCCAAAGATTTGTGTAGATGATTGTATTACTTGAAGCAGTTGGTTTCTTAACCAACATTTGAAACATATTGATGCTGTTAATGTGCTAGTCACCTTGACTCAGTATAGATGCTTAGAAAAAGCAGTGCTATTGACATGCTAGAGTTAAGAACTGGCCATTATGAAATCATATCAAGCAGATCTGCAAAACCTACATAAGAGCATCTTTCAGGGAGAAATAGGGAGGTAATAAAGTTGCTTTCTTAAGTAAGGCAGAATAACTAGGATATTTACAGCCCTTCCCAGCCCTTCACCAGGTGGTGCTACTCCAATATCACAACCAATTCAAGATCTAACATGCTTTATGAAAGCCAGTACCCTCTTGGAAATAACCTTTCATCAGGTGTGGTATGGCCTAGATGCTGCAGAGTTTGAAAAGCTCCCTTTATGCGTCTGGGATAAGCTGAGTCATTAGGGCTGTATCTGTTGAGCTGTTATTGGTCTTATGGGAACATGTTAGGAATTTTAAATGGGCAGGAAAGTCAGTATATAAAATAAATTGAAATTTTAGCCCTAAAATAAAATGGAGAGCCCTATAAAAGATCAGATCTCTTTTCTTGGTTTTTTTTTTCCTTTATACTGTGCTGCTAACATGCATTTCTCTTGCTGCCCCATTAGTTTTATGTTTGCTGTAGACAACCCTGGGTTGGAATAGCTCAAATTACAGCTAAATTACTACAGTTACGCACAATAGGATTTTCTTTTACAGAACTTTTGTTGAATTGGGATTATCCTTCTACAAGCTGAACAAACTGAATTTGTGTACCTTCCCACTTTGTAGGACATTTTTATCTCTACTCTCAGCATGAGAATAAAACATTGGAAAAAAAAAAAAAAAAAAAGACTACCAGATAATTTCCTGCTAGAAGCACTCTTTTTAATTAAACAAGGCTCACAGCAACTTGAAAATGAAAATCCACCTGGCCACATTGTTCTTATCAGATTTTAATTTTTACACCATAGTTAAAATTCAGAAATCTTGCTGTCTGTGTGCGTAATCAGAGACAGTTTCATCTGAGAAGATGTGATAAGTTGTAAGACACGTATAGTCTACTACTGCTGTTTCTGGGACTTTTTGGCTGACCTGAGATTTTTCCAAAGTCTCCAAGGTTGCAGGCACTGGTGCCAGTGGGTGAGATACCCCACAGTGCAGGCAGGCCAGTGGTGCTGAGCGCTCCTCTTGGTGCTGGCATCATACCCCACCCTCACCTTTGTTACCTGTTGAAGGGGGGCGGCGGGGAAATTAATTCTTTTGATTCAAACACATGTCAGGGCACGGCGGGGATGGTCTCAGGGAGGGACTCGGGCCCAGGGCACCCCGGTCAAGGGCACAGGGCCAGGCCTGGCAGTGCCAGGGCCTTGAGTCCCAGCCACCCCGCAGGGCTGTGGGGACATGGCGGGCCCCTGTACTCTCCTTCTCCCCTCCCTTCCCTGGTGTGTGCTCCTCACTGCAGTGACAGGCATTGCTTTTGAGTCAGAGGAGGGTTAATATATTCAGACAATTAGCATACCATTATTCATGTCATATGAAGTGAAACAAAAGGATAGCCTTTCTTCTGGCACTGCACAGTGCTTGCGGTAGTGGCTACTACCCTTTTCCACTTACTTTGTCTCATGGAGTAAAATGTGAATACAAGGTGTGGGTCCAACCTAAACAGTCAAGAATTTTGGCTACTGCTAAAGTCCAGTGTGGGGTTGTATGTGTCTGCAGGCCACTACAGATGTAGCTGGTAGCAGAAAGACACAGGTAGTATAGCTCATGGGCCAAAGACTGTAACTTACATTTCCCTCAGTGTTTTTAAGGCAAAAATTCAGTTAATAGTTCTCAATTTGAAGTGTTCCTCTACGGTTCAGCAAGGACACAGCTATGCTGAATTTAGTGATGAATAGACTGTGTTTAACGAAGGGTGACTTCAATCATTTTCCTCTAATATTTGATACATCGACTGAAATGCTTCCCGTTTTCTTGGTATATATTGGCCTTCAGTTTTGGCATATCCCAGACTCCTCATAGCTAGAGTCAGCAATCAAATACAATCTCAAATTTCATCCAGAAAAGGATCATTTTAAAGTTTTGAAGATCAATTTAAAAAAAAAAAAAAAAAAAAAAAACACAAACCAAAACCCACCAAACTTTAAATTGCAACTAATCTATAAGAATTATTTTCTATATTAACCAGGCTTCAGGATAGTTTTTCTGCTGCTGGCCCAGGGAAGTTGTTTACTGCATAGAGTAGCGTAATGCCAACAGTAGATGGTGGCAAAATTAAAATGTCAATGCAGTAAATTGAAATGACTGGCACGTAAACATCTCCACTCTAGGCAGTGCTATGTATAGTACCTGGTTGGTCTTTTTAATGTAGATGAGTGCAAGCAGACACTTACTAACCTTCAGTTAGTGATCATATGTAATACCTTAGTATTTTCTAAGGAGGTTTACAGTCTTAAAGACAGAATGAGATTAGAAGTTGATTCAGTACTAATCTTTTTAAAAGCAAATACAAGAAAACAGAAAAGCCCTGTCTTCTGATTGGCATTTATTCTGAGAAAAAATACTATTTCTGTTCCTCAAGCTAGTATCCCCTGGTAAGAAGACAAGACCAGGTTATTTATTATTTTATTTTATTTTATTTTCATTTTTGGACTTCTTTTGTTTGTTTGTTTGTTCAATTCAGTTACTTTTCCCTCTTCTCTGGTCCTTTTGTTTTCTGATTTTCCATCATCCCTTCATGCGGGCAGTGAAGGTTCAAAGAAGCAACAGGCAACTTACCTGGGATTCGTGTACCAACAGCCACAGCAGCCTCCTCACCTACCACCATTATAACACCTACCACCCTGACCATTGCAGGATGCCAGCCTTGAAATTCCAGAAATCGCCTCCTCAAAAAAGCCTTCGTAATGTTCCATGCTTTTTCCAGCTGACATATTCTCTCCTCCTCTTCTTTTTCTTCCTCCTCCCTCCCCTCTTCTTTCACTCATACTTTTCCCATTTCAGGCACTAAAACCTTTTCAGTTTTATGGATGCTACACTTTTTCATAGCCATGCCAAGGTTATTTCTGACATTTTACACCTTTTCCCTTCTGTAACAAGGAAAACAAGAAAAGGCTTGAAAATTCTGAATGAATCAGCATTTCTGCTATATGAGTAGACCATTAGATTTGAGTAGTGTATATAAAGATGATTTTTGAATGCAAAGCATTGCTTACAAGTCTTTTGTCAGAAATTACCTACATCTAGACATACTGATCTGCGTTTGTTTATGGATATGTGTTGAAGAATTTAATTGAACATGCTTCACCTAAAATAAGTTGTATTCTATGAATGTACTTTTTGTATCTCCAGTATCTTTGTTAGCTCCCAGCCAATATTTTCATGAAATGCTGGCTATACTTTTACCTAGGGTCACCTATGTGGTTTAACGTCTTTGTTGTTGGAAATGCACAAACCGTTCCTGTGCATCATACACATTGTTTGATTCATTGATGAGTTACAGGCATGTGCCACACTATTCTATGAAGATTGAGTGCTGTATGCCAAGTGTTTGATTTCTTACAGCAGCTTTGGTGTCTTCATCCTTCTCTCCTACCTCCATGAGCGCATACAGCCTGAGTTCCCTGAACATGGGGACCTTACCTCGCAGCCTCTACTCCACCAGCCCACGTGGGACAATGATGAGGCGGAGGATGAAAAAGAAGGACTTCAAAAGCTCCTGTAGGTGGTAACAGCATTTGCTCAAAAATGTGCAATGAATGGGTGGAGGAGGGGGAAGATACAGAAAAAAAAGGTACAAAGTACCTTAATTAATATATATACACTAGGCAGGAGAAAGACCAGCTGGAGTTTCTGTTAGATGTAGGGAAACATCAGCGTAAAAATATTTGTCCACTGCTAAAATGAGATGAGTAGAGACCATGCAGCTTAACTATCTTACCTGAAATCTATAAAGCAATGTTTTCTTCAGACAATTCTGGAAGGGTTTGTTGTACCGTTACTGAAGTGATTTTCAAATACCTTTTTCAATTCTTCCCGTTCCCATTAGGGAACAGAATTCGTAGCTGAATAGTCAAAACCAGATTGCTGGTAAGCTCAACCAGCTGTCACGTTATGGAAGGAAAAGAGCTTGCCACAGTACCACCTAGGTAGTTTTAATGTTTACATCTACACCATAACCTGCACAGTCATTTTTATGAAGAGTGACAAATAATAGAGATGACTAAATAACCTTGTTTCTGACCACTCTCTGGGATTCAAAGCGTGTCTTCCCATGAGTCAGTAATTTCCCAAGCCAGGGTGGATATATTTCAGGCTGCTCCACTTTGCTGCATATCGCTAAGTATCTGCTGGCCAGAGAGAGTATGGCTGTATCAGTGTGTTGTTCCCCAGATTCCATCTAAGTGCCACCTCTCCTTTTGGCTTGTCCATCTTCATGTAATCCTCAGCAGCTCAGTTCTTCCAGAGCAAGGAAGAGAGAACTGCTCTGTAAACCATCTGCTCCAGCTAGTAATGCTCACAGGTCCACTCTGGAAAAAACTGAGCTGCTGCGCGTTACAGCACTGCCGCCCTGTATTAAAGATTTCCCATGGTCATGGCAACGTCAGAGCAAAGCAGCAGCCTCCAACTAAGGCCAGTCACTATGGAGTTATGAGGAAACATTTGAGGGAGGAACTGAGGTTTTGCTTTCTTGCAGTTTTTTGTTGCTTGCTTGTTCTTATTTCTTCCATAAAGCAAATACTTTTACATAAAGTTTGCCCATAAATGCATTTTTTACTTTTAATCTGATCAGCCATTTTTCACAACTCATCTGTTGACATGTTAGGGTCATGGGGAGACAGTGTGTCCATCCACACTATAGTATCAGTAGGGATCCAGCTCTTATGTATCCTCATGTGTACATGAGAAATAGTAGTAATGTTACACTAATAGTAATTTATTTGAATACTAAAATAATGCTGGATGCAAAAAATTGTTCTTTGATTGTGCTAAATTATAGCTGTTTCATCCAACAAACAACTGTTAATCCTGAAAGCTGATCCTGTTATGGTTCTTGGAGACAGTTGTTACTTGTGTTGTTATATTTTTCAGATATTTTTCCTTCAAGGAAGCCTTTCCCTACAGTTTTCTATCCTGTAAAGGCTGAAAACAAGGCCAGTGGCATTAGGTTTAAGTGGGATGGTCGCGTAAGCACTGCAGCTCACCTGAAAGGTTCCTCAAGATAGAAGGCCCTGGGAATGTCAGGCTGCCATGATTAAACAAATCTCAAACTAGGAGGAATTAGGATGAGGCTTTGTTGTGGGGTAGTTTATTATGCATTTTCATTGTGAGGTCTGGATATAGAGCATTACAAAATTTGTGGAACTGGCCCCCCCATCCCTGAATGAGTCTGTGCCTCTCTACGAGGAGGGACTACACCAGCAACCCAGAATCAGAGCTGGCTTTGGAGGAATTGGCTGGCCAGACCGGCTTGCTTGCCCTTTCTGTGAGCTTGCTTTTCAGCCCATGCAGAGTTCCTTACTCCTGTTGCTAGATTTACACCCATACTTGTGAGTGCAGTAACAGCCAATTTAAGAGACCCGCACGGTCTGAATGTGCTACAGGTGACCGTGATAGACAATGACTGGTCCTTTAACCTTCCACTACACAATGACAGGACGTGGAAAACCTTGCCCCTCTCCCTTTGTGGGAGACTCATGAGAACCAGGTAGCATCAACTGCTGTCCTTTTCATAGAAAGGAATAGCACACTCTCTTAATTTTAGTGGGATTTTTTTTTTTTCAATTAATCCAGTTGGATCATTTGAGGATTTTATTACTGTAACTTTTAATAAATCTGTTAGGACATCATTTGGGAAGTAAAGGTTGTATTGGTGAGGGGTGCTATAAAGTTTACATTGACAGTTATTTAGGAAAACCCGTATAACTTAATGTGATCATGCCAGAATTCATGATGGTGAAGTGTCATAGTACAGAGGTTGTAGGACTTTTATGGCCATGATTTTACAATCATTGCCTTAGTTACACAGATCTTTCCAGACACGTGGCTGTAAAAATTGAAGGCGTGCCCTGCTGTCATGTGCTTTATTTATGCCACTTGTTTTCAACTTTTATTCTTCCTCTACTTTTTTTTTGTTTTAAAGTATGGTATTAATTGTGGAAACACTTAGATTATTATTTGGTTAAAGTTTAAATCCTGAAATATTTTGTAATAGGTCCATATTAGTACTTGAAAGTGAGACACAATTTTATACCAACTTACACGATGGGCTGCATATCTGGTGGAAATTAGAGAGGGTCTTAGACATGCATAGGTGCTGTTTTCTCAGCACGTCCCAAGTTAGCTGCTACCAGGAGGAATAATGTACATTTTGGAATTTTTCGAGGGTCAGAGCAAGAGACTGCAGGCATAACAATCCATACACATACCTTTAAATACATCTTGCTCTGCTTCTCATATGGCTGCAGGAATAAAAGTAATGAGTACATAAACTTCAAATTCAAGATAATTATTTATATAACCATAGAGCATGTAGTAAACCAGCCCCCAGGAGTATTGCTAAGAGTTGGGTGAAAACTATATAAGGATGCCAAAATGTACCCCTAGCAGTAGCAATCAGGGTTCACTGGAACTACGTATATATCCATGCCTCCTTTTTAAATCAGTAAGGCTGCTTTCCTGCCTGTAAAACTTCAAATCCATCAAGCAACAGTGTTTCTTGTAATTACTGTTGAGTTGCAAACCCCAATGTGCTCTGAGTCATGGGTTTGGGTACCTGTGGCATTTTATAGAGGTTTAGCAGATAGCTACTGTTACATGATTTGGAAAGGGTATTTTCATCTCTGCTTTTTGTGTTTCTGTTTCGTTTTCTTTGGGAGTGGGGGGAGTTCCTAACTGTCACTTTTAAGTGTCCACATCATCAAAATACATATCAGGGTGAGCCGTAAATCCCACAAATAGTAACTTAATTTTTCTCAATGTGAATTAAAACCTTAGCTCTCCTGAAAGTTGAAATAAATGTTGTGAGACCTTTAGGCTCCTAGTACAGCATTAAAAAAAGAGTAAGAAAGTTAGAGAGTCAGCTAGATGCCTGCTGCACAGGGCAAACGGACACAGAAGTGATGGGAAACAAAGATACAGCTAACAATTAGTTGTATGACCTTAAAAAAGGGAAAATGGAACTTTTCTGAGCTTGGATGCCCAAAATTTAGACATTTCTAGAGAGTGCATTAGATGATCTGGTGTTATATTAACTCTGGATTTGTCTGCCCTAGTCATATTTTAGCCTTTGCAGCACTGAGGGCTGGAGAAACCTATTTCTCACATGCAGTAAATGCTAAAGCCGGTGGCCATCTCTAAGAACAGATTATTAGTATCTGCACGTGGGTATGAGCATATTCTACTGAGTGCAGACAAAAGAAGCAGTAAGAAGGAAGCTATTGAGTAACTGAAATAATACACAATTCTTATAAAGGAAAATTAAAACAAGATATGAGTGAGAATTTAAAGTAATTTAGAAAAGATGTTTTGAGTTGAAAGGACCTTTGCTGGGAGAAAACAAATTCATGAGGTTTTTGACAAGTGAAACTTTTGCAACAGAACTGTCATTGCCAACTGTGCCACATTAATCAGATTTTATACTATTTCAGAGCAAAAGTCTAATTCTTGTAGCCCCAAAGTGCAGGAAATACTTATATAACCTCTGGCATGTTTGCACAGCTGTGCTAATATTATCTGTGATGTAAAAGCAAGAATTAACTTTTTCCCACATCTAAGATAAAAAAAAAAAAAATCCACAGTTAAGCAATCTCCCCAGATAAACCATGAACTTTTATCTAATTCCTTATAGCTACTGCATGCAGAAATGGCTCTTAAAGGAAATTAGAGGTGGAGTGGTAATGGCGTAGATTTGTAACATGAAAACATTCAGAATCCTCAGTGTTGGATGATGATAGTTATTGGTCTGAATGGGAATCGAAAAACTCTAGCTTTCTGCATATGACATAAGGAAAGGCAGTAGTTTGTCACTGGGGGAATTAGAACAATGATACTATAGACATTTAGGCAGAGATCAAAGAACCAAAGGTTCAGTCTCCTCCTTTCATAGGTAATTGCACTGAATCTCAATGTTGTTCTTCTCTTGATTTGTTCTGTAATGCAGCCTATTCAAACGGGAGTGAGAATAGAGAGAGGGAATAAATCAGGAGTACAGAAGTAGCTGCTTGTGTTTCTCACAGAAGGGTCCCCCAGTTCCTTTGAGAGACCCCGAAGAACTTTTTTCCTACACTCTTGAGATGCACTGGCTGCTAAAACAGAAGGGTTTGTTCAGCTTACGCTACCCACATATCCTGACACGATTGCTGATGTGTAGTAAACATGTACAAGAGGAAGTCATCCTTATTTCTTTCAAGTAAGCCTGCCCCCCATGCTTTGTTGTTAACATTGCAATCCTGTGAGATGTTCTAAAGAGCTCATGGGAGTTGGTCTGAATAAAAGCTTGGCTTGCGCCTCCAATTCCTTTAGCTCCTGTGAAAATTCTGCTCATCCATACCTCAAACCTAATGCAAACAGAATTCAAGGATGTTCTGAGATTTTTGAAGTGGGGGTGTCAAACACATTTATTCTACTCTGTACAAGAACCATCTTTTTGCATTTTAACATACAGCTATGTGTTTTTCTATTCTGCCATATGTCATTACTGTTTATACATAATTTATAAGCTTGAGCCTAAATTGACTTTAAAAGAGGTGTTTCATTGACTAGGTTTATTGTACAGATCAATTTTCTCAAAGACCAATGAAATTTCTGCTGTTGATGAATGTCTTTCCTCCTGGTCTGCTCTGTTTTATAGTGTCTTTAGCCTCTAGCACTGTTGGTTTGGCTGGGCAGGTCGTCCACACGGAAACCACAGAAGTCGTGCTGACAGCTGACCCCATAGTAGGGTTTGGGATACAGCTCCAGGGTAGCGTGTTTGCTACTGAGACCTTGTCTTCTCCACCTCTCATTTCCTATATTGAGTCTGACAGTCCAGCGGAAAGGTGAGGTTCTTGCAGTTGACTGCTAAGTACATTTTGGTGAGCGTTCCTTGGGGTACTTCGGGCTTGTTGCTCCTGATTTGTGATAAATTGCAGGGCTTGCTTAGTGGAACCGTGGCAAGTAATAAACTGTCTGTTTTGACACTGATATTTCATATGCTTGATCAGCTGTAAGAACAATGACAAGCACCAGTGTTTTTATCATCCACAGGCCTCCAGCAGGAGGCTGGAAGCTATATTCATGCAAAAGGAAAAATAAAAATCAGAAACATCACTGAAGTCAAAATAGCGATAATTCACTGTGCCATGGGGAGAGGCCATATCCAGCCCTGTTCCGTTTTGGTACAGAGCAAATCCTTAGGGAATACCAGAGTTTTGGCTTACTAATGGCTTCATCGCAGCATTTCAATTGCATTTTTACGCTTCTGCACATCTTTAATCATGGCATGAGAACAACAGTAGTTGCGCAGGCAAGTCCTAGCTGCCGTTGCAGAGCTACAGCCCCTGTTGAGCTGCTCTGCCACACTTCTCCTTCCAGGTTAGGCTGAATGTGTTTGATATTGCTGGTTCTGGTAACGTACACAACTGATGATTGTTTTGTATCATTGTGTACCAAGGTGTGGGGTGCTGCAAATAGGAGACAGAATAGTGGCAATAAACGGTGTCCCAACGGAAGACAGCACATTTGATGAGGCCAATCAGCTGCTCAGAGACTCCTCTATCACCAACAAGGTCACTTTGGAAATAGAGTTTGATGTTGCAGGTATGAATGTACTGTTATTCTGTCTTGCAAGAAAAGTGAAGGAATAAATCCCAAGTACATTGCAAGTGTTAGGCATCCAAGGTGGAGACTTTCTTCTCACATATACACCATTCCCATTTCACATAGCCCTGCAGCATGCTTCAGAATACAAATAGAAATGACAACTCCTGTAGTAAGATCTGGTGAGAGTCCCTCCTCAGAGTTATTTCTGGACATTTTTCTGCCCTGAAGTATAAATATTCTGCTGAGCAGAGACAAATCCTCTACAGGCCAGCTAATGAAACGTTTTACTAGGCAGAAAAGTATTATAAAAGGGTGGATGAGCAAAAAACTGAAAAGTTTCACTTACAGTATCTCAAACCAACTATCTAAATAAAACAACAGAAATTTAATTAATAAAAGCCAGAAAAATCATTGTTAATATTGCTGGTGTCTTTATTATTACTGATGGCTTTCCTTTCTTGTGTAATGTGTTGAAGCATATAGAGTACTCCTATAAAATTGCAAATTGTATAAATCAAACAATTACACATTATGTATGTGCACTATGTAAATAGTAAAAACTTTTAAGGCTTCTGCGTTCATCTGACAGTAGCTCCTTTGAAGACATGACAATGCCAGATGTGCTGTATTTTGCACAGTGGGATTATTGTTAATGATATTATAAATAATGATATTATAAATGTAGACTAAAGTTTCCTAGAGTAATTCTGTATAATCTTTTAGTATGCATGCATTCAGTGTAATGTTTTTTTTAAAAAAGACAAATACTACATTCACATTCATATACATAGGAAGTGAAATATTAAAAAATAAGAAAACCTAATAATTAAAGTAATTTAAATACACCTGAAGTCACATGTATTTCAGTTTCTGAGCTTGTTTGTGCTCCTTCCACTTGCTCCATGACACCAGGCTCATACTCATGGTTAGACTCCTCTGCCACATGTATGTTTATATGTTTCCATAGCTGTAATTTTGATCACTCCTTTTCAGGCCAAGGCCCAAGCTTTTGCAGGCAGTGATGCCAAAAGTCAGGATTCAAATACAGTGCTGCATGTTCAAGTGGGTTTTGCCTCAGTCAGCTCCAGGCACTTCTCCATCCCTGATGTTTTGATTCCTTTTCTTCCCAGTAGATGTAAAATCCAGGGCAGTTACCTCAGCGGATGGTTAAAAATGTGTTAGACCTACAGCAACAAAGGCCTGAAATTCTTAAGACTTCATCTGTCCTTTTAATTAAAAGTTATCTGCCAACACTAGAATTTCACGTGTGCTCACAGAACTTGCATATGAGCTAAAAACCTGCAGTCTCAGCTGGCTGCTGGCCGTGCAATCTCCATAAATTCAGTTAAACCTTAAAAAAAAATTGAGTTACCGTGAAATTACCAATAGAGGTATAAATCATACTCTGTATCTCCTACTTCGTTCACTTCAGCACCCATGTTTCATCCATGGCTTGTGATGCTGATGTGGTTTCATCAACTTACACATGTAGTTCCATGCACTTGGAATTGCTGTGCCATATAAATTATCTAACATTTTAAATATTTTTTTATAGAATCTGTTATACCAAGCAGTGGAACGTTTCATGTAAAACTACCAAAGAAGCATAATGTGGAACTTGGCATCACCATAAGTTGTAAGTGAAAGTGCTTATTTTAAAGACCATGTTTATGGGACAATCTGCAGGTAGTAGGTCCTGTAGCTATAGACTCATGTTTGTTTTGGTATAGATTTCTTTTTCCTTTTTCAGGAAAGGGATGATTATCAGTGCTCTGTCTCTGATGAAATACTGTTCTGTAACAGTGTCGTGGTTTAGGCCTGATTGGCAGCCAACCACAATGCAGCAGCTCTCTCTCCCTTCCCCTCCGGCAATGAGAAGGGACAGAGAGCCAGGATTGGGGTTTGAGATAGGACTGGGATGGGGAAAAATCCCCCTTTTATGATCACAAGCAAAAGGCAGTCTCGTTAGGGGAAGAAAAAAACAACATACATTTATTACAGACACTAACAACACATAACAGAGTAGGACAGTGAGAAGCATTGCCACATCTTGAGAACACCTTCCCCCCACCCCTCCCTTCTTCCCGGGCTCAGCTCTGCTCCCGATATCTCTACCTCCTCCCTCAGTGGCGCAGGGGCAGGGAATGGGGGGTGCAGTCAGTGCTGCCACTTCCTTCATCTTCGGTGAGGGGAGTGTCTGGAACTTGTTCCTCCTGCTCCATCATGGTCCCCCTCTCACAGGAGACAGTCCTCCACAAACTTTCTCCAACTTGAATTCCTCCCATGGGCCGCAGCGTTCCCCACACTGCTCTGTCATGGGTCACTAAGTTCCTCCGACTGGATTCCCTCCCATGGCTGCAGCCCTTCCCGAGCTGCTCCGGCGTGGGACTCCCCCGCACGCTGCAATCCTCCCAGCACTGAATTACAGCAGCGGGGCTGCCTTTTCCCACGAGACCCCGGCCTTCTTCGGGCACAGCACCTTGATCAGCTGAGCAGGAGCAACAGGCCATAAATCAATGTCTGCTCCTCCGTAGATCTTCATGGGTGGCAGGGGGGGACCGCCCTGCCGTCTCCCCACAGGATACAGGGGGGTCTCTGCTCCAGCACGCCTCCCCCCTCCTTTCTTCCTCTGTTCCTTCACTGACCTTGGTGTTCACGCAGCTGCAGCAACTCCTCCTCACAACTCTGCCCGTCACCACGTCCCTTCTTAAATACGTTATCGCAGAGGCGCAGCCAATTGGCTCAATTTCCCAAACAGAAGTGGAGCTGACGTGGAGCTGGGGGAGCTTCGAGAAGCTTCTCACAGGGGGCTGCCCCGATAGCCCCCTCCCCTGCCACCAAAAAACTCCACCACTCACTCAACCCAGGACAAACAGATTTATACTTCCCTTCTTGTAGTTAAAGAAGCCAGAAATTTACCAGGCCTGAAGCTTGACTTATTCCTTCATGCATATCACATATTTAACTATCATTACAATTATTTAAAAATAACAAAAAAATAGGTCAATAGAATTAGGCCTATGCAAAAGTATTTCTACAGCTGGGAAGCTTAAAGCAAAGTCTCTCATGATCTCTCACGATCTCTCACAGGCTCTTGAACAGAACCCCACTGAGCTCAAGGGTTCTCACAGGCACGAGGATCCACATACACGGGGTTATTTTCTGCTTCAGAACCCAGAGTCTGAAAATACATCCTCAATCTGTAAAACTAGTGTGCAGTCCTAAGTGTGCAGGTCCCATAGCAAAACCCTCTTTCACTAGGGATTTCAGAGATTTCTAAAGAAGATAACAAGCATCTGCATTAGTCTATTTCTCAAGAAGTATTTGTTACTGTTGTTTGAAATCAGAGTGTTTCTATATTTATTTATTTTGGGAGCAGACAGTAAATGCTGTGTTAGGACTGGATTGTGAGCGGATAAACTCCAGCATACTGAGTTCAGTCCTCGATGGAAGGAAGAACAATCCATATCAAAGTTAATGGGCCTGTGTTTAATGTACTTAATGACAGTGCAGAATCTGGTCTCAGCGGAATTAGCATTCCTTTACGGTTGTGGCCTTTCTTAGACTATTAGTCCTTCTTTGGAATTATTCATGTGTCTCGGGGGAAGACTGTACTTTGACTTATATTCTCAAAGCTTTTACCAGCACAATGGAATAAGGTTAATCAAAAGTACAGCAGGGAACTCAGTGCTAAGAATTACATCTGAGGAACAAATGAGAGACACTGCAGGCCTGTTTGCTTGAGTTGCACCCTTGAATGAGTAGTTGTTAGACTCTGTAAGATGTGATGTGATGCTTGAAGCAAAATCATAGGTCTACATTTATTTGTGCAAATGAAAATACTGAGAAATAAGAAAACCTGGAGAGAGGCTGTTCTATTTAAATGTTATTCTTAGGATTGGTAGTGATTTGTAGGATTATTATAAACATACGGTCTTCCTAGTGATTTGTGCTGCTTTTTAGAATTCAGACATCTTGTACTTTTTTCCGTTTGTAGGAGTAAACTTTGGATGGAAAGCTAATGTTCTTGGAATTTAGTATTTAGCACTCCTCTTCTAAACCTTGCATACTTTCCTGACTTGGAACTTAATTCCAAAAGTTAGTGCTTTATATAATCAGTGTGACACCTGGTTGGTCTTAGCTCTGCTCTTCTGAGTATACAGCAATATCTTTAATATTTAAATTAAATGATCTGTTATATATAATAATCCTACTTTTTATAGAATTTAATGCATATGAAATGTGTCTAGAATTAGTTATTTGATTTTAAAGGACTTATACTAATAACTGAAAGTTTGTAAATTTGCTTGGTAGAAGTCTTGAACTGCTGCATTTTCATGCTTGCTTTTCAGTGCTTTGCTCTGTTCTACCTAATTGAATCCTAAATGATACCGTGTGATTTGAAGAATATAAACATTTTATATTCATTTTGTCAAATTTTTGTCAGGGCACTTTAGCACATTAGTGTGTCATTTATTACTGATGTTGTCAGAAAGCTATATGATTTCTTTTCAAAAACAAATACTAAGGGAAGCTCAGAGGAGTTGGTATGACCAGGCTTATACAAGGGTGATAGAGGAAGTCAGGTTTATTCTCTTTTGGGCTTGATCTGTTCAAGTGCTAGAGACCTGTTTTATCCTCTCTCTTCTCATGGTAGCTGCAGTTCATGGTGAGTGCTGTCCCTATAAAAACATTTCAGAGAAACGCCTGTCTTGCTTTCCATATCCCCAGTTTAGTTTGGGACTTGAATGAGAAATTCAGGGAATGATCTGACCTGATAGACAAGACAGACATTTTTCATCAGAAGGGAAATTTAAGCCTCACTTCGGGTTAGCACCTGCACCTGTGCCTCTTTTTAAATTCAAGAGTTCTTCTAAGTCAGCTATTAGGAGTCAGACATCCTGGAAGAGGAATTTATTTCTCCTTCTTTGTGTAGTTTTCCTTGGTAATAAACACCAAGTGTGCCTGCATAGAGTTATAGCCAGGTACTTGAAGGCATATCTGAGGTGACACACAACACTAAAGACAGTTAAGCTAATTCATGGTCTTTGAAAAACATGGCATGTATTAGGGGAAGAGACTAAGCTTCTCTTAATTTTAGATTTATTAATGCAAGAAAAAAAGCAAAACAAAACCAATAAAAATCAAAATCCCCTTAGATAGCAGAAATCTCTAGAAAGTGAGACAGAAGAAAGTTTCATGAGCATCATTGTTAATGTTAATCCAGGGCACTGAGTTTTGGATAGTGCATGTCAGTTACCTTGTGGTATACTGGCCTTGCCCATTGCTGCCTCCGCACACTGGACTTCTATCATCCTTCCCGTGTCTCTGCAATATCTGTCTAATCTTCCCATTAATAGCTACTTACACTCAATAAAGAGTCTGTTTCATAGTTTGCAAATATAAGAGACTATATATTTCATGCTTCAGGTACCATCATTTTTGCACCCAGTTACCTGGCTGGAGCAATTAGAATATCTCCACTCTTTAAAATTACATCATCCAAATAAAGCATGACATGGCAGTGTCCATGTGTGTGTGATTATACTTTTATAACAGAACCGTTCCTTAGAAGAAGGATGGCTTTCAAACAGATCTACTAGTGTTCAGATCTGTTTCAGTTTCTTTGCCAGTGACATTGACTTTAGACCATGTAATGGAATATAGATTATTTTTTGTTAGTTTGTTTAAAGGTAAATTTTTGTTCCACTGGCTACTTTACCATAGACCAATATTTCTTAAATACAGTAAATGATGTCCAAGAAAATTACTTACGAGTACAGTCTGGTAATTGTAGTTAACAGCTCTTTTTTTTTTTTTTTCGTTTTTCCTTTCTTAAGTAAGATTCTGATATCCTTACTGGTAATGAACTGCAGCACCTTGCTTCATAAATAATCTCTCTGAAGCTAATGGGACTACTCGAGGAATAAGAAGCTGCAAAGCTGGTAAGAATATCAGAATCTCACCTAAACTATCATCAGTTTTTCTAAGTCACTTTGACTAGCAGCTATACTATAGTCTGATTTACTGCTTTCATATTTCATCAGAAACAAGGTTTGTTAATATCTACAGCACTGACTCTGAGAATTTACTTTCTAAAGCATGTTTCTGTGTATTTTGGGATTTCAGCTTGCAAACAGCTACATTGTGCAACGTTACAAGTAATTATTTTCAAGGCAGGGCCTGAAGAATCATCAGGTTGCTCAGCTGCTCCACATGAACCAATACTTAAGGAATAAAAGAGCTACATCAGTCTAGTTTTAAAAACCTCTTTCAATGATTTAATAATCACACTATTTTTAAAAAGTCTAGTAGCTGTTAACCAGCATTGTGAATAAGTGAACAGACTTTGTATAAAAAATACTTTTCCATCCCACAGCATTTTCCTCTGCTTGTTGAGTTTGTTTGGAGTTTGATCAAACTCCAAAACTTGAAGCCAGACTGAGACTAGTAAGTGAGTTTTGGCTGGGTGGTAGGTGAGATGTCCACCCCCATATCTGTTTCAGTCACATTGTTGTTTTTTGTCTTTGGGTTAGCAGTGAAATAAGAAAGGAGGGTTGTTTGAGGGGGGTTTTAACTTAATGGAACTGCTCATCTACAAAATTGACAACACTTAACTCAACTTGCTTTCAAGAGGTGGAAGATAAGTAGGGGAAGTGTGTCTTAACTAGTAGAAGCAGGGAAAAAGACTGGGATGGACACCTAGGATCATAGAGTAATTTAAAGAGAGAGAACAAACAGCTTGCTAAAGATCAGCCTTCCAGCTGCAACACTGATTTTAGTATCTGTACAACTTTCTGCACTCTTCAGTCCACTCATAAGTCATCATACAGACTGGGTAAGGTCTCTACAATAGCTGAACAGTAGGTAGACTAACAGCTGGACCAGGGAGGAGAAAAGATGGAATCTTCAGTGGACAAGCAGAATGGGACAAGGAGAGAAAATGAGTGGAGAGCCATAGCAGGGAGGAAGCAGATGAAGGGAGAGGCTGAGGTGTGATCAGGGTAAGGGAAGCTGGGACTTAAACAAGAAGGCTGGACATGGGTGAGTGGTAAGGTGCTTTGTTTTAAGTTGCTTCTTAAAAACAAAAATAATTCTGAAATGAAACATAAAAATGGAGACTTAAAGCTATACAGTGTCACTTTAAACTTGCATTAATTCATGAGGATATATTTTTTAATTAAGTGGTCAAATACTACTTTCTCACTGGGACTCCTGCTTCTGTGCTCTCTAGGGAGAGATGAAACAGTGTTGTGTATCAAAGGGGATGGAGACTGCATAATGAATGAGGTGGAGTATTGCAGAAAGAAAAAAGAGGTGATCTCATAGTCAGGAGCTTAATGCTACCCTGGAAAAGTCAGGGTTTTTTTTCCTTTTCTCTGCAATAGAGTTGTACTGAGACAAGTCATTTCACAGAGCGGGGGCAGCCAAAAGTGGGAGAGAGAGACCGAGAAAGAGATTTTCCACAGGTGACTGCTTGATTTTCTGTGGAATCCATTCAGATCTTGGGGTCACACTTGCAGAAATGCTGAGCATCTGCAGCTGTTGCTGAAAATGTCAGTAGTTGTGCTTTGGACATAGAAGCTGTTATATACTACAAACTATTGAGAGAAATAAAGGATATCTCAAACTGCTCACTGAAAATTGTCATACTTTGACCTAAATGTTCCTATGTTTCCTTTCCTCATCTATAAAATCAGGAGAATAGTAGTCAGTCTTCTTGCTGGGGACAGCATCTGTTCGCTAGTGTTTGGGAGGCAGTCTTAGGCTGTGGTGATGTGCAGTACAAAGTTCAGGAGGAAATTAATGACTTTTTCTCCGCAACACAACTTGAATAGTTTGTAGTAAGTATGTCATGATCGTTGAACAAGAATAAAACAAAGTGTGGTGTAGCTGCTTAGTAAGGGCTTGTCAGCATGGGGGGATTCATTTCACACTGAGCTGTGTTTGCTGCCTACAAAAAGGCTTTCATCCACCAGACACAATTAATAGCCCAGGATAACTGACAAAATACCGCTGGTTCACACTTACCCAGTTTGAAACTGTAATAACTTTATGTGCTGTATCATACCCTTTGGATCCACATGTACTCTCTGGCTTTGCCCTTTGAGCTGTGCTCTTTCCCCCGTTTTGGCTCCTGTCTTCCTTTTGGAACAATAATGGACTGTTTTCTTTATTACTGGTAATTTTTATAAAGCAGTTCTATAAAAACTATCTCAATACTCAAATCTCAAACTGCAGACATTGTACAGTGAGTGGCATATAACCTCAGAGATTTATAAGGCAACCCAGAAGGTAAAAACATAGCATTTTAAAAAAAAGTTCACCAAAGTGATACTTAAAAATTTTAGCAAGATACTAATTGGTGAAACAAACCCAAATAATTAAAATAAATCATGGAACTGTCATATAAAATAATAGCTGACCCATGCGTGAAAGTATGAGAAACAAGCTATGAAAATTACACATCTTGCAAAAAGTTAATTGCTGTTCTCAAAATTGCAACCTAGGCATTTCCTGAAGTTTCTAAAAGTTCTTGAAAGTCCTTGTACATCTATCTTTTGGACTTCGAAAACACTACATTTGAAACATGGCTATTTAGTAGTTCATAAACAGTTTATTTGGATATTCAAAGGCTTCCTCAGCCAGGGCAGCCAAGGTTAACAAGACCTGTTAGAAGATTGTGTTGGAAATATCATTATTAATGCACCTTGTAGTTGCTGTAAGTGAAGATCTGTCATTTTCCATCAAAGCTAAGAATCACAAGCTGCTAAAGTAACTGACATCAGGATTTTGTAGGTGATCCTCCAATATGGGTAGCTCTTTGGGTGATTGTCAGATACGCACTGAAGCCTAATGGAAAAGTACCTTCTGTGAATGAATGCAGAGGCCTCAGTAGACAGAGCAGAAATGGCTTGGGGTGATTGAAGTGCCCTACACATGCGAAAACCATTAGCGCTTGTAGGAGAACTGAGAGCATTATACCTCATGGCAGCGTTTTAATATTAACACACTCTTTGTTAGCCACAGTCCCAAAAGTCATTCTGCATTGACCACATGGACTGCCTCCTGGCCAGAGCAGCTGTAGGTGGTATACTTCTGGATGGCAGAGACCAGGTGCCACATAGTTGTCTAAAAATGTATCTTTCATCACCCTTAAGTTCTGAGCCGACTACTTACCATGTGAGATGTTCAGTGCAGTCTTCTGTCAGCAAATGGATAAACCCTCCGAAACTATGCATTCAGTGAAGCTGCTCCAAGAAACAGTCCTCTGGAAGCAGTCAGTAAGCATTGTCTTCTTCTCCTGAGGTGGTTAACTGTTTCTTACACAACCAAAAGTCAAGCAAAATCGCTAAGCAAATTTCCTGGCCAAGGGAAACTTGTTCAAATACTTTTGCACAAGTCAGTAAAGAATTGCAATGCCTGGCACTGTAGAGCAGAGCATCCTTTTAACTATGATGGACAGATAGAAAATTGAAAGTTTTTTCACACACCTCCAAGAAGAGGTGAGTTAGGTGTGCAAAGAGAGGACTGGTGGGGGGTTTACTAATTTGACCATGGCTGGAATTGCAGGGCTTCTAGTAGGTATCCCCAGGACAAAGTGAGGCAAAGTTCACAATACTTAAGGCCTAGAAGCAGTATAGAGGAGCAAGGTGACTCATCAAAAGAGGCTCATGTTTACTTCAGAGGAAGCAGAGAGTCACAGTGAAGCAAGCATCTGTGTGATGTAAGCTACATCTGTGCAGATGTGATAACCGTGTCAGCTCAATGGCGTGCGTGGCCACTATCCAAAGCATCTCATACATTGTGAAGTGGATCCCTCCTCCTCACCCAGGAAGCATTATCTTCATACCTCTGCCTTAAGCACTGAATGAGAAAGGAGCAGATGTAAAGAATGTGGGCTAGCCCACTCTAGATATTTCACCAGAGCAGCTCCGTTGGTCAGGGATATAATAAAACATGATGTACGACTGACAGAAATGTTTTAGCAAGAGATCAGCATTGGTAGTTGTGCTGAAAGGTTCTACTAACAGAAAGTCTTCCTTACGTGTTATAGCTACACAGCATTTTATGATAGATCACTGAAGCTGTACTGTGATAACTTCACATGGTTCAGTCCTGGCCTAACCCAGAATTCAGACATCGATTTAAATACACTTTGCATCAGTCACTTTAATTCTGGCATTTTCTAATTTTTGAGAGGTATGCAGTCTTACCTATATGCTGCTACTGATTGTATTCATGTACATACAATTTAGGGGAAGGGGAGGAATATAGTACTGGTAAATAATATATATGAAGTATTGGTTTATGGACAGAATTAGCCCATCTGCGTATCTAGAAATAAAAACAGATACTTGTATGTATTCTTTATTACAGCTCCATCCAGTAGAAAACCAGGGGACCCTCTGGTTATTTCTGATATCAAGAAAGGAAGTGTTGCTCACAGGTAAGACATTCAAGCTCCCAGTAAAAATCTGTTTTCATTGTGTAGCCAGCCAAACTCAAGTTAAACAGAGAGAGCTTGTAAGAGACTGTGCTTTGGTTTTGTAAAAAGTAGTTCCAAATGAAATGTCCAGCATATTAAGAAATAATTGTTTTTAAAAATCCATCTTGTTTCTATAATAATTTTCATACCTTCTAAGATACCTTGCATTAATGTTACTAGAATTTCATGTAAGCTTATTTGCTTGTTCACAGAACTGGGACACTCGAACTGGGTGACAAGTTGCTTGCAATAGATAACATTCGACTTGACAATTGCTCAATGGAAGATGCTGTCCAGATCCTTCAGCACTGTGAGGACCTAGTAAAGTTAAAGATCCGCAAAGATGAAGATAATTCCGGTATTAGCAATGAGCTTATTGCAGATTCTTGTGTATTTTGGGGATTTTTAGAACCTAGGGTTGTTATTTTGCATTTAATTTTTAGTGAGATGTTTTTTCTAAACATAGCTGATTTATGCTAATGCTAATCAAAAAATGTCACACTAAAAAGAATTTTAATGGTAAGTAAAGTTTTTAATTTTCTAAGTGACTGTATTGCCTGCAGGAGCTGCACTGCAAAATGAGATTTTCAGTTTTCTGGAAATGCAGTTTCCCCTCAGGTGCTGCCATATAAAGTTGATCTTTCTCTTATCAGCATATTGAGACTTTCTCTGCTTTTAAGATTGGAACTGTGGTTAACAAAGCATGGATCTACAGGCCTGAGTTCTCCAGCAGGGTGCTGAAGTGAATGCTTTATCCATAAACTTAGGAACTTGACTTCAGTATGACTGTTCACATGTTTACACACTCTGCTGGATGGCTGATGGAGGAGCCAGGTCTGATCAGCCCGGTGGAAGTAATGGAGCTTCCATCATTTTGCACACCTGCATCTCTTAATATTCCTAGATCTTCTCCATTGTGGACTCCGTAAGAGCAGAATTTCTACCTGGAGATAATAAATTGAGTTCTGTTATGCATTCTAGTGGCAAAGGAAGTTAGACAATTCTAACTGCCATTACTGCTGGGATTTATATGACAGCATTACACAAAAGCACGAACTGTAGTTTCGCTTGTCTTAAGCTCTATACAATCTTACAGTAAAAAGGCACAGCCTGATGCCCTTTATTATTTAAAATGAAGTAAAACTGTTCAAATTGTGCTTAGAATTGCACTAGAATGCTCTTTTCCTTTAATTGCTTTTGAGAGCAAACAGAAAGTATCTTATCAGTATGATCAGTACAAAGCAAAGGCAGATGCATTTAGCACCTTGTGCTAATTGTCTTTCAGAAGTAAATTTTGATCCAGCAAAGTGAATGGCCACTGCTTGGCAGGATATTGTGGTTAGGTCCCTGCAGGTGGAGAGGTGGGATTTGCTACACATAGTTGGTCCATCTTGGACAAGGGCTGGCCAAACTGGCCATGGGCCGTATGTCCAAAGGGACACTTGACTGACAACTGCTTTGCACAGCTGAGCAAACCAGGCATGTCATGAAGAGCAAACTGCAACTACGCTTGGCAGAAGATTGACAGGAAAAATGCCTGTCAAAGGAAGTTTGATTTTTCACCTATACAAGAAGGGGGTCTGTCTTTTAAGTGTTCATGGCACCTAGGATCCCTCCTTCACATTCTTCCCCTCATTTGAAAGTCTCTCTCTCATTAATAACACTGCAGAGAAATTACCAACAGACCATAGAAGTGGGGGGTGAGTTAGAGCCATGCAGAAGAAGTAGTAACTTTTCCCACACTTTTAAACACTTGTGAATTTGTCCTGTGTGTGTTGTGTTGTCCCCCCACTCCCCCTCACCTTGTGTACTTAATCCTTTTTCTAGGACAGCTTCCATTTCCACTGAAGTTGTTACACCATTTTCTGTTGCTGTCACTGAAATGTGGATTTCAGTCTCTACCCATGTAAAATAACATCTTTGCTCTCTTTGGTATTGAATACCACAGTAGCTGGTACAGATTTTCGTCTGAGTGGGATTCTTATTCCATAGTTCACTTTTACACATTTGTATTACTCACTTTACAGTTACTTCATATATCTATATCAAGATTCTCACATAACTACAGTGTCTAATCCTGACATATTTGGTGTAACTGAACAGATTCACGTGTAAATGGACAGCTACTTAGAGACCTAATGAACAAAATTCTCTATACAAATAGTTCTTGTAATAGTTGACGAAGTGTCAAGGTGTAATTGAAAGTATTTATAGCAGATTTCAGGTACTTTGAAAGCTAAAATGAATGTATCTTGAAATGCTAAAGAAAAAATATTTTTTAAAACAGTGGCAAAACAATAGCAAAAGTGTAGCAAAAAGTGTACCTGAATTAAAATGAATTTTTGTTTATTTGCCATTAGTTTATTTATGAAAGTCTGTTTTCTCACAAAGGGAAGAAATGTGCTTCTCAAACTCTACAGAAAAAAATCGTTAATAAATTCCCCAAGAAAAGAAAAGCCTAATGCTAATAGATGAATGGTCGTGGAGCTCTCCAAAACAATTTATAAATCACAGAATGAGACTAAGATTTAAACTTTTAAAAATTTCTCATGGCATCCTTTTTTGAGGAGAGAAGGGCAGGCAGCAGGGGTTCTTCTTCCCTAGGTTCTCACTTACTCGCTGTCTTTCAAACTCTTTCCTTTTATATTCATTTTTAAGTATTTCTAGCTCTTCTTTCTGCCTTCTGTTTTTCCTTCCTCTGCTGTCTCTCCAACTCCTCCCTTCTCCAGACAGTTGTATGTGTCTCAGAGCTGTGTTCCCCAGAGCCACCGGTGCAGGTGAGGCCAGCGGCAGGGTCATACATGCCATGTGCTCCCTCAGACCGTGCTCGTCTTTGCCCCTTTCTCTGTGTTGATCAGATGGTATTTGGAAGAGCAAGGGACTAGTGGACAGAGCAGAGGCGCTGCAGCACGGAGGGTTTGCTTTTGTTAAATGTGGTTTCCAAGAACTAACCACAGTTGCATCACAAGAAAAGAAAGAAGGAAAATCTCAAGAACATGAGACCCAAAACATGGTAGTTTGATTATATTTCCTTACCAGATGAAAGTATGCTTTCAGCAGTTTTTCTGTTTTTTTTTTTTCCTGCCAGCTTCCCAAACTGACAACAGTTTTATCTCCTGATTAACCTAACAGCTACCACTCTTTTTTGAATATTGGAGTTCTTTATTTTCGTGGCAAGACCAGCCTTCATTGTGGATTCAGGCCATATACATGCCATGTTGTCTGATAGCTCTGATTTCAGCTGCTTGGAAAAAGCACTGAAGAGAACAGTGTAGCAATTCGACATTTGTTGCATTCTGCCATTAATTTTCTTAACTAGGGCTAACCAGCAGACAGACGTGATGGACCAGTCTCCAGTCATTCAGTAAGATCTATAAACTTCCAACTCTCATGTGACAGGGCTGCTGTATGATTAATAACTTCTTATTCACTTACTGTTGATAGCAGAGAAACATCGGTATTGTGTCGACGGTTAGCAAATACTGGCTATTACATTTTCAATTAGCTTGGTGGATTACTTTTCATCCTTCAGTTGAAGTCTTGTACTGTGTCAATGCGACACCTGTGTAAACGTTATCAGCGTTAGATCCCAGAGGATTTGTCATTGTTCCAAGCAAGAGCTGCCACTCTTCTGCTGCACAGTGACAGCCTACATGCTAGCCCACTGTAAGCTGGCCAGAGGCTTCCAGTGAAGTCTTGGGAGTTGGGTGCTCCTGGAAAGAGTATGTCAGATAAAGTATTGACGTGAAGTGTGCCAAAACATTGATGATCATGCCCCAAGTAGGAATACAAGGCCAACACTAGGCATGAAAATCCCACTATTCTTTGCTGAATAAACGCCACTAATTCTTCTCTCCTTTGATTCTATATGTGTACCATTTTCTTTATGTGGCTGACAAGGGGGAAATAGGGGGGAGTTGGAATGGGGGGAGGCTGAAGGCCTAAATTTTCTGCAAATTGGGAAGAAAGAAAGTAGCTCCAAGATTATAGTGTTTCTCCAGTTCTGCTTAAGTACCATGTTCAGCATGAGAAGGAAGCAACTCTTTGAACCTTTGCTAGAGGTGTAGATAACTGTTCCTTTTAAAGTTTTTCAGTCTACAGGAAAAGAAGTGGGAACATTTTCGTTTTCTAACTTGTCTCAGGTTAGTTGTAGTAACATTTACAGAATGTGTGTCCTAGGCATTTTCCACACTCACTGAGCCATTTGAAATGTCATTACCCACAGATCTAGGAAAAGTTGGCCGCCAGGCCAGATGTCCTGGCTGAATACTAATATCATAAGATGGGCAAGGGATCACTTGTTATTTTGATCTGAGGAGAAATCTGGCATTTTAAATTTTAAAATACCCCTTCACAGGTCAAAGATACTGGAGTTGCTTGCTCTGCTGCTGTGATATTTTTCTGATAATACATAAAAAGCATTCACTGTATAAATACAGGAGCCTTTCTTGTTGCTGCAACACCTGTTGGGTATTGTTTAAGGAAAATACATTGTAGTTAAGCTTACACAATGACAAATTCTTCTCCATTTCTGATGATTGGTGAGACTAAAATTTCAAAATAATGCAAATGACTTCATGCAGTATAATGAAATCAAATCTCATGGAGTTATTGTTCAACTTAGTTGATAATTCAGAATTCAGAAGCCATTTTTGATTCTGTTACAAAAGCTTAAAACTTGTCCATCAAAAACATGGGATATATTTCAAGTTCTCTTAGTAAGACCACTGCTCAACTTATCATGACTTTTGACTTTTCATACAATTCTTCTAAGGAAGTTTGGTTCCAAACTTTTGAATTATATTTGATTCCATTAACTTCAAGAAACAGATGAGTACCAGTATTTGTACAATAGTAGTAACTTGTCTTTTCTCTAATAATGTGCCTTTGTGGCAAAGGCGCCCAACATCAGGCAGAGGGGGGTGATCCTTCCCGTCTGCTCAGCCCTGGTGAGACACACCTGGAGTGCTGGGGCCAGTCCCGGGCTCCCCAGTGCAAGAGAGACATGGACTTACTGGAGTGAGTGCAGGGAAAGGCCACAAAGATGAAGGAACTAGAGCATTTCACCTGTGAGGAAAGGCTGAGAGTGCTGGTACTGTTTAGCCTGGAGAGGAGAAGGCTCAAGGGGGATCTTATCAATGTATGTAAATATCTGAAGGAAAGATGTAAAGCAGATGGAGCCAAGCTCTCTTCAGTGGAGCCCAGTGATGGGACTAGAGGCAATGGGCACAGACTGAAATACAGGAGGTTCTTCCTGAACATCAGGAAACACTTTTTTACTGTGAGGGTGAGTGAGGACTGGCACAGGTTGTCCACAGAGGTTGTGGAGTCTCCATCCTTGGAGATACTCAAAAGCCATCTGGACACAGTCCTGGGCAACCTGATGCTGGTGGCCATGCATTGGACCAGATGACCTCCAGAGGTCCCTTCCAACCTCAGCCATCCTGTGATTCTGTGACAAAATCATCTGAAGTTACATTTTAATAGGAAATAATATATAAAGGTTTTAAACAGAGTAAAACTTAGTCTTAATAGAATGAGGAGAGTTTTTCTATTGACTTCAATGGAATCAGGTTTTGGCAATAAAAAAGAAATTGCACAAGAGACAATTTGATATTTTTTTTTTTACAAAATAATCTGGTAGAATATGATTAAGAAGTGCATCTGAAATGTAATCCTTTGAAAATGTTGTTTGATTACCAGTCACTAGACTGAATGTGCTATTTTTTTCATTCCCTCTTTCATAAGAAACCAATTGCATCCCCTTGGCATTTATTGCAGATGAACAGGAGAGCTCTGGAGCAATTATTTATACTGTTGAGCTTAAGCGCTATGGTGGGCCTCTTGGAATTACAATCTCTGGTACTGAAGAGCCCTTTGATCCCATAATCATTTCCAGCCTTACAAAAGGAGGATTAGCTGAAAGGTAAATTGGAAAGCTCATTATTATTCAATGTTCTTTTTGTCAGGATAAAGATTTATTTTGTTTACTCGAAGATGCAAATTTTCACAATTTAGCGATTTTTTAGTAATTCTCCAAATCTGAGGTTGCTGTTGTTTTTTGATCATTGCCCTGTTCAGGAGCATGAGCAATATCTTAACAGGATGTCAGGATGTTCTTGCATATACTATACAAGACAGAGCAGAGGATTGTGGTCTTTATTGTAAATCACCTAGGAAAGACTAGTCAATCAAACTGCTCAGTCACAGGAACATTTTAGCAGCCAGTTAAAAGCAATAGTCTTGTATAGTACGACAGGTAAGGAAAGCAATTCACATGTCTAAGTTTATCTGAACTTACTGTATACTTATCTGCCTCTTATCATATACACACACTGTATCTGTATGTGCACTTACATACTCCATAGTAAGCATTATCTGAAGAGCAGAAATGCTCCTTGTGGTAAGTGATGGATAGAGAATAATGAAAATGCTAAGGTTTTCTATTTCTAAGATAGGTAGAGTCATTGCGACTGGTACCTTTGGTGGTGGTTTCAGAGAGAACTTGCAGCACACAAAACCTGAAAACATGATACTGTGCACAACCAAAACAAACATTGCATTTATTGCATTTATGAGAATTTATTTTCTTCTCTTGATATGATCCATCTTGAAAGCCACATGAGTGAAATAGCTGGTGATTTGATCACACTGCCATTATCTGTTATGTTGTGAGACTTCTAGAAACTTGGCTCATTTCAGAACTTTCTGATCTGTCTGAGATTGCTCCTTAAACAGGTGGGCTGCAATGAGTATCAACCATAGGTGATTAACGACTGCAGTAACACAAAAATCCACGTCTGCATGCCTCAGCTCTGCTATTGTCACTACAACAAAGGTGGCTTGCTTTAAGCGTTTCTAACAAAAGAATTACTCTGTAACACAGCTATAAAAGCAAAATGAAAGAAAGAAAGGGAGATGAGACTTTCATGCTCCAGATATACAAAGAAATTGCCTTTGTTGCTTTTTATGCTCTCAGTGTTTTACTTCTCTCTCTTATTGTAGGACTGGGGCAATTCACATAGGAGACAGAATCTTAGCAATAAATAGTAGCAGTCTGAAAGGAAAACCTTTGAGTGAAGCCATTCATTTATTACAGATGGCAGGAGAAACTGTCACCTTGAAAATCAAGAAGCAGACAGATGGTGAGTATGGCCAAGGGTGGCATCAGTGGTCTTTAATGCATGTGTTGTTACAGATTAACAAGCATTTAGGCCATCCCTGGAAAAACCTCGTGTCAGTAGTAAAAAGCATATTCTTAGAACTGCAATAAAGCAATGACTGCCACCCCCTTTTTTTTTTTTTTTTTTTTTATAATCCTATTCAGCTACCAGTCCCAAGAAATTTTCAGTCCCTGGGGGTCACATAAGTGAATTGAGCGATGCTGAAGATGAAACCTCTGCTGCACAGAAATCTGGCAAACTCTCAGACATCTATTCCACTACAGTCCCAAGTGTTGACAGTGCAGTAGAGTCGTGGGATGGCTCTGGTATTGATACCAGCTTTGGAAATCAAGGTACTATCAAGAACATAATCAACATTTAAAGTAGGAATTATTGCCTTCATGGTTGACCTTCCTTTGCCTCAAAGAGAACTTTATCTGTACCAACTTTAAACCTTTTACTTTGTAATGTGCTGGTGTCATTGTGACCACACACCTCGCCAGGCAACATGATTTATTACATTTGGCTGGCCTCAGATTCATTCTTTCATGACAGTGTGATGCGTTATGAAGCATTTATCAATACATTAACAGGGTTTTGTTAGCTTTACTGACATCTGAATAGCCCGGTCCATAGCTTATCTGCAACTAAATGAGTTTATCCTTCAAATACAGATCAATGCAAGGCACAGAACACACTGAAGATGTTAATGAATTTGATGCCCATATGCAGTAATTTTTAACTGACAACAGATTTATTATAAACTGCTGAAGGGGGAACATTAGACATTGCTTATGATTTGTAAATATTTTGCTTCTTCCCCATTCCTACAACATTAACATCTAACTTTCAGCTCTCAAAACCAATCATTCAATTTGAATACATGATCCTTTTAACGCTGAATTTTCTACTTCTGTTTGGCTATTGTTTTATATAGGATTTTCAAATAATCTCCTTTTAACTTGTAAGGAGCATTTATTTAGGCAGTAAGGGATACAGACATCCTGTAATATTCTAGATAACACGAAAAATAACTTCCACACAGCTTCAGTGTTTTATTTCACTCTCTTAAAAATGTTGATTTCCATAGTAAGGTAGGTATTCCCACTACCTGGCAGGTATTTGGACAGGTAGAGCCTTACCTCAAATAATTCTTTCTCACTCGCTCTGGTTGCACACATTCTTTTGATTTTATTTCTCTGTTTCTTTCTGTTGCTCTCCAGGAGCATGGGTAGTAGCTTATGGACAGCTGTTTTGTACCCTCATACAGAGAACTGAAACCGAGCTCTGCCCAGGGGATTTCCCTTACAGACTGAAGTTCTGTACCGATTACTTTCATTGCTATTCTCTAATATACTTGCTCAGTGATAACACTGGTGGTTTCTTCTGGAAAGCAGAAAGTTTCCTTTGAAATCTGCTGAGCTACTTGAGATCAAGAAGTAGCTGATGTCACTACTAGTAGCCGTTTTGTTCTGTTCTTTAATTTTTAAATATTTCTTAGCTTTACTGCATATATGTGACATCAACTTACTTTAAACAAGACAGTCTCAATACATTTGATTATAACTCCTGTTTTCTACTTTACTTTTAATTTACTGTTATACGCAACATTTTATTTAGTATTCAATGTACTGGGTTGTATTCCCCCCATATAATTTATATTTCACTGGAATTAGAGTTGGGATGAATTTGTCCCCTTTTCTGTTTTTAGCCATTTTGGTTAGTTTATCAAAATAAATCATGTTAGATTTTCTTCTGATATTTTTAAATTCTAAGGAGAAGTATTGCTAAAAAAATGCCAGAATGATAGTTCTCATTTCCTGGGTGAATTGATGATATTTGGAGCAAATTGTTCAACTGTGGGAAGGACTGAGACCCAGACTACTTTCCAAAGTCCTGATGACTCAGGTGCCATGACAAAATTAAACCAATATCTCAAAGCAGATTTTCTTCTAATTCCCTTAAAATACCAGCCCAGACTTGGCTGGATACATGGCACTTCTGATAAACAGCCTGAGTGTCATCAGATTCATGCCTTATCTCTTGCTGTGGTACTAATGTGACCCACATTTCCATTAAAGTTCATTCTGCCTTGACCTGTTGAGTTTGGCTTTTCTCCAAACCTTTCTTGGCATAAGTACAGGCTAAGCAAATTGGGGAGTCTGGGGAATGTTTCGGGAGCACCAGATAATGCTTTATCCTATTAGTTACTAATTTAATGCTAGTGAGCAGTCTTTTCTCTCCTTGAATTAATACCCCATTTTGTACTTTTGTCTAATGTGTCTGCCTTACTAATCCAGAGCCTTCCCCACATGGCAGTCACATTTTCAACACCAAAACCCTTCCTAGAATCTGGGAGTATGTTAATCTGCCAATTATCTGGAAAACACACACAACTCTGTAGTTACATGGGATTTGAGGGAGACAGGTCTAGGCTGATTTATGGAACCAAACTGCCCTCTTTAGAGAGGTGACAGCAGTGATATTTGTTAGTCATCAACAAAATACAACTTCCTAATCCAATATGCACATCAGAAAATGCCAACTATAGAGCTAAAAAAGGAATATGTCAAGGTGAAATACATATATAGCAGCTCTACCGTAATGGATTTTGCTTACCATGTCAGCATCAGCTTGTGACAGGTCGATCCATGTGTTCTTCTTGATATATCACTTGGAAGCCAGACTGTCTGGTTCCTACTTGGAATTCAAATGACACTTGATTCAGTTAAAGAAATACTATTGAACTAATACCAACATTGCTTGTGTGATAAAAATACCCAGAAATAAACACTTCAGCTATATAAAGGCTGTCTGATGCCACTTACACATTGGAAACAGCTGATAGAGAAATCACTTTCCGCAAGGTGAGCTTCCCGAGGGCGTATATTGGTCCCAGACACGTGCCCATCCTGAGACAGTCCTTTTCTCAGCTCTCAGAGCCTTGGCAAAAAGTAGTAGCTCCGCTAAGTGCAAGAGCCCTCCCACAGAAGGGCATGGGTACAGCGGTTCCCATGTTGGCCTTTATGACAGCACAGTCCTGCATTTGTAGTGATGAGTCCTTGCCTCAGCGGTGCCAAAACAGCCACCCTCCTTCCTGCTCTGGCAGCTAGCTAATGGTCACTCAGGGGCCTCTGCACCCTGCCAGCTTTTGCATCTAGGTAGCCATTCTACAGATTGGTAGTACTGGGGATAATTGACACTCATATGTCACTAAGCATTGGTTGCATTGCTTCCAAATTCGAGATAGTTACCAGGAGGAAGAAAAAATGTCTGAAAAAGTCAAGCTGATGGGTCTTTTTTAATGCATCCTTGTAAAATCCTTTTTCAATAGATCTGAAGCACAGTTTTGTTAATAGTTTAGGTTTAAATTTGGGCATGTCGCACATGATTTATTCACTAGTATTCAATGCATGATGGCCAATTGGGAATTGGTAAATTGTGAAGATGTCTAGAACCAAGCATCAGAAGCAGCTGAGACATGAACAGTAGGAGAACGGTGTTAGCTGTATTTAAGATTTTGCTTTCAATGGACTTTCACAGGAGAAGCTCTAGAGCACACTTAATCCCAGGCATAATTTAGAGCATAAGTAATCTGACTACTACTGCAAAAAAAGGTAGCAATCGTGAGTCCACGTCCAAGTTCTAGAGAACTCAGCTTCAGAGATTTGCTTTTCTATCATTACAACATATACAGTGCCGTAAATATATAATTCATCTTTTTAGGACACAGCTATCAGGCTTCAGGATACAACTTCAATGCCTATGAATGGAGGAGTCCTAAACAGACTAGTTTGTCCCCTCCAAGCAAACCACGAAACCACCCATTTCATGATACAGGGCTGAGTGATGACGAATGGGACCGACCTACAGCAAGCAGGTAAGTTCCCACATAAGTTTCTGTTTTCTGATTTGCAGCTGCAGCAGTGCCTCAAAATTGGACACTTACTGTCTGGAATGAAAGTTTTTTTCTAATGCAACTCTAACAGCTCTTCCTTTAAATACAAAATAGTAGTATTTATACTTCATGAAACTTACTAGGGTAGATCAGTGACGTTTATGGAAGATCATGATGCCAAAACCTAGACAAATAATTATTTTTAGTTACTTCAGACAAAAAAAAAAACACAGCATTTATCTCTTAAGAATAAACAAACAAACAAAAATAGGGCATTCCTCTGGGTAAGCTTCAGAAAAAACCTGCTCTGTTTTATCTCTCCACAAAAATAAACCTGCAGGTAAAGTGGCTAAAGACAACTGGCATGTTAATCTTTTGTCTTCCATGAAAATTCTTCATTTTGGTTTAGGCAAAGAAGCAGAAATTACAGTCTTCTTCCGTAAATGCTTGAGACATCTGCAGCGATTCAGTAGGAGAACAAAGTGATCCAGGTGGAAATACCTTGTCCAAATCTATGGTAGTTTGCCATGCATTCATTCCTCTTCTTCTGAGAATTACATCTCCTTTTCAGTGAATTTCTCTGCAGGCAAAATGACTTCCTGAGGGAAAAATGCTTAGTTGACAATGCTTGGAGATAGTGAAAGACCCAAAAGTCTCTTACTTTCTATTCTAAGGCTGATCCGGCAGTGGAACCACTGGAGAGACTTGGGTAACTCCTGCCAGAGAACAGTTCTTCCTCAGATGAGGGAAGACAGACATCACAGTTCCAAAAATTTCTGTGTTTTTTGTACCCACCCTCAGGACTTGCAGACATGCATGTCCTTCATTAGAAATACAGTTTCTTAGTGTAGCAGAACAATGAGCCCAAAGTGCTAGTCTGTGAGAAATTCAAGTTTAGTACCGAAGAAGACCTTTCTGGCTCCTGTCTAAACACACTGGATAAGTAAATCCATAAGGTCCAGTCTGTTACCTTTGAAATACCAATCAAGGCAAAGCTTAGATGCCAGCACTGCTTTTCAGAATCTGAATGACAAATCCTCTGATACAGCAGATTGCCCAGTGGCATTTCGTCTGGAGCCAAGTCTGGCAAGATGATAGCTAAGGTCTGGGGAAGTGTGAACTCTCAGACCTTAACCAGGTCCTTTGGTCCCTACTGGCCAGAAGCATACTAGAAGTTTTCATAGGCTAGTTGTGGACAATATTTAATAAAGGAAATGACTATAGTTTTCTTCATATCTCCCATTCTTGGTAAGTTAGTATCTTTAATTTAATAGCAACATCTTTATCCACAGTTAAAGCCCATATTTTGTTTCCCAGATGAGATGCAGCCATAGATTTCAGAACACCTACTGTTTTGCAGTTACATAAGTAATAGGCTGAAAAAGTTGATAAGCAGTGAACTGGGAAGCTGGATTGTAAAATACAATCTTCTAAATGAAAAGCATGTATTCTACTACCATTTTAAAGCACTATTCAACAGAAGGTATGCACATTAAAGAGCCTTGTTCTACTTGTCAGTGTGACTTAACACCTGAGATATATGGCACAAATTAAAATAATGTTTATTTTAACCCTGTATCTGTAAAATGGATAACGCCATACCTGATGGTGTTCCTATACCAAGTGCTGGTGTATTTGAGAAGGGCACGTCTGTTCTTCCAGCCTGTTACAGGGATCCCCAGAAAAACCACCTCTTCTCTGCCCCTAGCTAAGCAACTTTTCTTATTCTCTACCACTAAAAAGTCATTTTTTCTTACCTTTTTTTTGTGTAGCACAGCTTCCAAGAATATGTGGCAACAGAAGGAGGCTGAGACATTGGGAGAGACTCAAGAAAACCACTTAAAGCAAACTTCTGTAGAAAGGTCAGGGGGAGAGAGCATCAGAAGCACGAAGAAAGAGGGCAAGATGTGGAAAGGTGCCTCTGGTGGGCAAAGGAAAGGTGGGGGACAGCTGGAAGAGTGGAATACTTCCAGGTAGGAGAACAAAGAGTGCACAGGAGGGAGATCCGGCTGGGCTGAGGCAGGGGCGGCGCGGGACAGGGTGGGAAGGGGGAAGAAAGGAAAAACAGTTGAAATGAGAAATAGGAGAAAAACAGGGTAAAAGCAGAAAACACATTAGCGTGCCGTTGAGTGACAATGAAATTTCAGCTGGCAAACAAATGAAACCAGATTGCTTTAAACCGCTCTGTAGCCTGGTGTCTACCTGTGGCTGGAAGGTAGGACAAGTCAGTTGTAATTCCTGCTCCAGGGAAAACTTTTTGCACATTAAACAGTATTTGTAGGAATGAGTCTGCCAGATCCTAAAACATCCTATCAGCTCCTGAATTAAAAAAAAAAAAAAAAAAAAAAATTGTCTCTCATATGGCAATAAGAATCAAATCATAGGCACCTGTGTTTTCATATCTGTCTTACTACCTCTCCTTCAGCATTTTCATGCATGTCAATTTCTGATGGCTCTTTCAATAAGCATCAGGAAACCAAATATATTTGTTACAGGTCAAACAATATTGCACATGGCATGAAACCAATCTCTCAGGTTTCAGAAAAAAAATTAATCTAGAGGAGAAATTATTTTGGTAGCTCTTTTTTTTTCTGGTGCAGTAGCTCAGCTACAAAGCAGTTTATTCATGTGGCTGCAATGGAGATGGAAAAGTTGAGCATTTCACACACCAGGAGTTAAGGCTCAGCGAAAAGGCAGAAGAGGAGGTGAGGGCAGAGAAAGGAATTGCTTCAACTAAAAAGAGGTCCAGATGTATAGAATTTACAATTTCAGATTTCACAGAAGTCAGAGAAGAAATGGACCTCCAGTTCTAGGAAATCCAGTCTTCGCTGTCGCAGACAATTGCCTCAAATAATCCTGTTCATTAACTTAAGTTCCATTTTACATTATAATATTAATATACAATATAAAGAGAGGTATTGTAATGGATAAATTAGTCTATGTTCAACACTGGCTATTAAAACAACTACTTCGGTTTATTGAAAGAGCTAATTTCAGGAGTCAAGGATCTTTCTAAAATCATGTTTTAAATGCTTTCTTATCTTGCCTGGGAGGAATTGCATCTGTGATCTGAGTAGGTATTCTCACCATTGCTGTATCTATTGCAATATCTTAGAAGATACACTGATGCTAGATGGAGAATCATTGCAATAAGAGATTGAAATGGCTGACCATTGTCTGCTTGACTGATCGTAACTGTAAGAAAGCATCTCTGAGGCAGAGTATCATGTGTGTGAAGCATTTGAGCTGTCGTCAGTTGTGCTGGGCAATTCCCCTATTTAAAAGCTATTCTGTTAACAGTGTTACATTCACGCTATTCTCAGTAATACGTCATTTGTCAAGCAAGGCCTCAGATGCTTCCATAATGGTGTTTTCTCTGTTTGTGTGCTGTTAAGCACCACTAGCTGCAGTCCATGGGCAGCTGCTCCAAAGTAACAGCTTGCTGCCACCAAAAGGGCGACTTCTCATTCTTTCCTTCCTCATCCTTCCCCTGTGCCTTTCACATAATCAGCCCCCTCCCGTGTAGCAGCTCTGATGCTTGTATGAACCTTCACTGAGCTGATATCCCTTGCTGAGACCTCAAAAAACTCCTGCTTCCTCCCCACACACGCAAACACTGTAATGCTGTTGCTTTGGGCTGCATTGCTGCAGTCCAGAGTTGGCATTTTCTATCAGACCTGTCTTGCTGGGCAATTTCCCTAAGCACTGCTGCCACCGACATCTTGCTCAAGAGTGCTAGTAATAAGGCTTCGGTGCGTTTATGAAACACCAGAGACCAAAGTCTCATTGCATCCCTGAAAGTTCATCTGTGTTTGTGTATGAAATGACTGGAGCAGTTTATATGATGGCAGTCGGGTGGTCTTAAATCAATAATGATAAATGCAGCTTGGGCTGAAGGAATCGGGTAAAAAGCACCACCATCCCTCTTTTGCAAAATGCTGCTTGCAAAAATGAGGGCTCTTTTCATATTCCCTGGAAGAAGCCTGTGAGGTCGAAAGGTTTTACTGCAAACATGCATTGCACAGAGCAGCGCTGCACACAGCTCCTGGTTGATTCATTAATTTTCATAGGGAGATCCCAGTTTCAATCTAGTAAAAATGTGTGTTGCATTGTTCTTGGAGTCCGTTTATCTCCTTACTGAATAATTCGCTGCTCAGATCCTGGCAGCTGCTAGCAACTGCCAGGTTATAAGAAGACTTGTCTGTCATGTGCTCTGCATGTCCATTCAGCCTCTCCTGACCAGCGACTCTTCCCCCCTCTCCTGCCTACCTACCGTAACGTTCTGTCATTCATGTTGCAGTCTGTGGCAAGGCACGTGTGTAAAATATATTTTTTGAGGAAAGAAAGTCCACATTTTTTTAACCTCTCATTGTAAATCTAGCTTCGCAGGTACCCATGATAACACCGAGGCTGACCAGGAGGAAAATTTCTGGTCTCAGGCTCTGGAGGATTTAGAGACCTGTGGCCAGTCAGGAATTCTGAGGGAACTAGAGGTAGAACAATCTTAACCTTTCTTTCCAATTATAGAGAAATATAATGGTTTTGGTTTGGTTTACATTCATTTTATTTTCTCCTTTTTTTCTTTTAAGTTGCACTAATTACACCAATTCATTTAAAAGCTTTAACCCCTCTTCACAGGACAAGGCTGACAGGCGTCTGTGTTTGAGAAACATGACTCTCTTGGTACCTACCCTTTACCTTTATATTTTCGCTTGTGCAGCTGCCTCCCCTGCCCCTAACCAGAGCTGTTTTCTTTTGTACAATGCAACCAAAATTTTGTAAACATGTTCACCCCAGAGCTTTTGACTTGCAGCTTCTGCTGTGCATAACCATTGACGCTGTCTGCATAGGCAGCAAATGGCGCAGAACTTCTTAAGTGGGCATAACCTTCCTGCAGCAGTGCATCCCATTCTCTGACAGACGCTTTATGCAGCTTTTCTTAGCATGTTGTAGGTTGTCTTTTAAATTGAAACTTAATTTGATTAAGATGAACATAAAAGAAAATCAGCTTTTCAACATGTTTACCTATAATCTTACCGCTCTGCAAAAAAAGCTGCCAGTGTGAGAAGTGTTCGTATATACAGCAGTTTCTTCACTATGTAACGAATTTTCACATTTCATCCTGCAGCTAATTGCAAATCTAACCATGCTTCGTGTTAGACTGTGAGGCGGGTAGAGAGGGAAGGGAAGAGAGAAAGAGTAACTTTGAGTCTTTATTTTTCTGATCACTTTTTCTCTAAGTTGTCTAATCAGAACAATTAAGATTATACTGCCACTTAAAGCTACGGAATGAAAGGTTCTAAAATATTTTCTTTTATGTTCTTTTAAATTCCTGGAGCTGCAAAACTGGCAGAATCTCATTTTCATTTTTATGTTGTATAAAGTCCTTTAGCAGCCAGGAGGAATGTGAATGGCGTAACTGGGTGAAAGTTTTTCAGTTTCAGATTAATTTACTTCCTCAGATTTTTGGCTTTTGTATTGCATGTATGGGTAGCAAAATGTGATTCTCATGTATTTGTTATTGCAAACCAGAGAAATGTAGGAGAAAATGTTATACTGGTTTAATTCCATAGTTAGATATGGTTCAATACCGCAGGCTTCTCTTGCAATTTTCAATATTCAGAGCACAATAAAAGGATATGGAAATAGATAATTCTGAAATGGAAATAGATTATTCATACTGACCAGAATTCAGTCACTTCAGCACGTTGAATTTTCCTCAGCCTTTCACAAAAGTGAAATTCAGGACTGCAGACACTGTATTGTTGAGAGCAGTGCCTTGTTGCACAACCCCCAGCTCTGAAGAGGAAGCAAGACTCATTCAGTATGTCAGGGTGCTGAGACTGGCAATGCCTCTAGTTTATGAAGTGCCATTGAATAGTCAAGGACTCCTTATCGTTTTTCATTTCAAGGTCTTCAGCAAAGACGACTGCTGTTTGCCAAGTCCTCTGGATGCTTTTGCTCCATCGGGCAGTAATATCAGTCATTACTGAGCACAAGAGAGACTGTTGAGGCTACAATATATTATCTCGTAGTGGAAGTAGTGCTGGAGCTGGGAGAAAGAAAGGTGACAGACATACTCACCAGAGTCAGAAGCAAACATTTATTTGCCTGGTTTCCCCTTATTTTTTCCCCCTTCATATTTACTTCTCATTTACAGGCAGGCTGCCTGCATCCTGTCCCAGTCAGAGTTCAGGTTACGGACTTCTAATTTCCATTTTCACTTGCCCATCAGCAGGGTGGCTGTGCCAAAGCACGATTGCCACCCATTCCCCAGAGCAGGAAGGATTTCACAAGGGAGGAGGCTCCTTTCAAGATTTCACCCTCCATGTATTCTTGTGTCTCATCTAAAAGGCTAGCTTTTAATGATACTAAAAACAGCAGTGAGACGGGGACTTGCATCTCTGAGGTGTTAGCGGTAAGCTAAGGTAGTTACTCTTGCAAACATGCATGTTCTGCAGAGTTTCTTTCCAGGTAGTGAGATACCTGCACTGAGCTCTCCCCGGCCTGGGATGATATCTGGGCACACTCTCTGCCAGTGCTGACTCTAGAGCTGCCCACATATTCTGCTGACTCACATTTTTTTACCTTGCACGCACAGCCTGAATTGTAAATGCCTTCCTAGAGCTCCAATTCCAACAAATGCAATTATGCTGCAACTTAAATGTCATTTTATTTACATGTAAAATATTTTTGAAATAAGCAATTATACTACACACTCTTCAGTCTGCCAGGGGACTAGCTCACAAGCATAGCTGTTCCAGTGCTCAGTATTTTAGTTTGAAATGCCATCTGAAAACTTTTGCCCATAGGGTTCTGTTATTGTTGTTGTGTTTTGTTGTGGTCCTTTATTTTGTAGTGACTTGCAAGCAGATTGAACATCTATCCTCTTGCCTTTTGCTGTGCCCTGAGTGATTGTGTTTTAACAAAGACTAGAGACGTTTTTCCTACTGCTATGAATTAACCACTTAACCCACATTCTCTGTTAAAAATTAACCTGTCCATTAATGCTCTAGGCCACAATTATGTCAGGAAGTACAATGAGTTTGAATCATGAAAACACACAACCTCGTAACCAGCTGGGAAGACAAGCCAGCTTCCAGGAAAGAAGTACTGTAAGGCCACATTACAGTCAAGCTACTCGTAGCAACACACTGCCGTCAGATGTGGGGAGAAAGTCCATGGTTCTGAGAAAAATTAAGCAAGAAATGAAAGAAATCATGTCACCAACTCCTGTGGAGTTACACAAGGTCTGTAATTTTCTTCTGACAGCTTTGAAATAATATATTCAGCATAGGGAATCTAATTATATGGCAATATAGTAAGCACTTTTTATAATGATTCCACAGATGTAATTTGGGGGCCGTGCATATTAGTTCTTACAAACACATTAATGACATATCCCTGTGGGGAAAACAAACAAATAAGATGCATCCTTGTCTACTATTTCATTTTACAATAAATCCTCAGAAGGGACTGCTCTTTTACAAGGAGGATCCACTGGTAATTTGAATTGACGCTACCAATAACTCATCCCTGCAAAATGTGTTCATTAAGAAAGCAAAGTTTAATTTCTAGAAAATACATTTCTTTAGGAAATTACTCGGGAGGGTTTGGGGCTCCCATTGGTTCTTTTTCAAATTAACACTCATTTTGAATCAAATACATGAGACTGAACATACATAATATAGAATCTTATTTCAATTTAGCTATTGCTTTGCTTCTCTTTATAATTCCTTTGCTGTAAAAAGGATAAACAATTTTCAGTCTGTGTGGCTTTTCACTGCTCAAGACTGTTGGAATCACCTGGTGATACAAAGGTGGCTCTGCACCCCAGGGAAGCACTGGATAAAGTATCTTTAGATGTGCAGAGCAATCACCAGTTTAAGTCTCAATCCAGTGAGGCAATAACAGCAACCAGTTTCCTAAACTTTGGGGGACATTATAATGCTGTTCCACTTGATGGGAAGGAGCCTCCTATCTCCTGCACTCATCATACTCTTAAGGGGCTGAGATCTTTCCAGAGGGTAGGATGGAGCCTGGAGAAATTTCGTTAAGATGTCGTATGTTGTCATTCTCAGGAGTGCTGGTTTGGTTTCTAGTCCCTGCAGGTTTGAGTGAGTTTAGTTTGTCATTTGTTCACTTTAGTTCACTGAGTATGGGCTGTGTGAATGTTCGTAGAAGGCAGCAGAGAATGGATCTTATACATGGAAAACTAATCAGGATGTGTTGTGATAGTCTTAAGCTATTCATATTTCCAGCTTGATGTGATTAATGGAGTTAGTTACTACACTCAGTTTTCCTGAGTGGTGAGTAAATGTAAGATATAAGCCAAAACTACACCAGTAGGCATTTCATGGTGTGCTCACGTTCGGCAAAGGCACAGTTTTCTCCTGTGGATTATAAACCAGCCTTTCATGCTTGATAAAATAGATCCTTTCCTGGAAAGGAGTCATCGGATTTCTATTAATGAGTTGATATTCTGTGATAGCTGCTAGCTCTTAGAGTTCTGGGCACTAAAATATACCCTGTCCTTGAGCTTTCTCTCTCTTCAGTTGTCTGTTTTTTAAGATTGCTGTGGCCTTCAGTTTTAGTAATTTCCAGTTTTTGTTCAGACGATATACCCACTTTTCCCCTGTCTGATGAAGTGATGTTCATTTTGCTTATACTGTCTGTTCTGTCATCTGGAAAAGAGTCATTTCCTTTCTAAAAATCTCAAAGTTGAACCTGCACCAAGGGTTTTCCAAATCCTTACAGTTGTTTAAGAAAAAACAGTGACTGGATCTTACAGTCCGATTCAGCAAAGTGAGCTTGTACCCCTGTGATCACACATGCAGGTCATCCCACGCATCATGGGCTGCTTTTGTATTCATTTTCTTACTGGTTCTTGTGTAGCAACGTGCCTCTTACTTTCTACTTCTTCATTTTTGTAATAGACCTCTAGCTTAATGCTAATAACGTGTTCAATTGCTATTTCTCATGGACAGCTTGTCCAATAATCGTTTTCCAGGAAAGCTGCGATGCCACAGGAATTATTTCACTGTCAAGAGAAATGTCTTGATTCAGATGTTTTTCGTAACAGGCTTTACTGGCAAATGTGCTGTGCCCTCTGCAGGCAAATGTCTTCATCAGCCAGGCCACTGATGGATCAGCCAGTAAAATAAGAACTGTTTTGGAAAACTGTGATGGTATAAACAGTCTTTGAAACACTAGCTAAGACGTAGCTTGCCTGAGACGTACCTCAGCAAGACTCTCAAGCGTGTACTTGATTGCACGCTGCTGAGCTTTCCCAGTTCCTTCAGCAGGACAGGTCAGGTGCCGTGGTTCGGTGAGTCTGCGTGCCTGTTGAGTCGGGGCCTGTGTGCCCTCTAGATCAGAGTTCATACCTTAAGTTTGATCGCAGAAAATAGGCCCCCTCAGGTCCATGTTCCTCTGTTTTTTCATAATCTGATTGGGAGAGGGCAAAGGTGTATGACTCTACCAAAGAAAAAGCCATGAAAATTGATTTAACCAACAGCCAGTCCGACCGTAGAGGGTAAGAGAGAATAAGACTGGACAAAAACTGCTCAGGCTACAAACACAAATGAGTAAGTCTAATGGAACAGCATGGTGAGCAGATGGCATTACTAACTTATCCTTCTCAGAGATACACCTGTCAGAAAGGTAACGTAGCCCTGAGGATTCTTTTGCTGAAAGCTGCAAGATTTGCGGCAAGTTAACCTGAATTCTTCACTGCTTTTTCTTACTTCACTGCATTATATTCACCAAATGTGTACTTGAACTGTCTTTGTCCTGAGGAAGCTACAACTGAGATGTGCCGTACAGATCTCTTCAAACATTTGTTCTAGATGGTTGAATAAGTAACATTTAATTTAACTGGATAGCATATTGCTATATCAGTACCCAAATTAAATTAATGCCTTTAATTGATTTTATCTACTTAGGTAAGCATACAGATTAATATTTCTCTAAAAATCATAGTGGACCATTTTTTACAAGTTCCATAGAGCACACATTCCTCTGAGAGCAAAAATATGCAGTAGACATCAGATAATTTTTCAATATTATTATTGCAAGTAGTCATTAACCTAAAATTACAGTCAGTAAAAATACCTCAATAGCTGATCTGTGCAAGATGTATGAATTCAAATTAAGCATTTGCCCATAGATTTGACAGGGAGGAGAGGCATAGAAACAGACTCAAAACTTGTAAGCCTCTGTTTAAAATTTGTAACTCTTTAATTGCTTATGAAATATGAATTAAATTTCCATTTCGTCTTTCTTTTTCCCTTAGGCTCCTGATGTAAATTTAAAAGTCTAACAGATTGCCCATAATGGAGATTTTGCTGTTGCGATCAAACCTTCCAAACAGCTGTGATCACAAGTACAGATAAAACAGCATGATTTAGGTGTTGCATGAATTGGCTGCAGTCTCACACCCTTCAGACAGGGCTACTGTCTGTCAAGTGAAGATGAGAACACCATGTGGCAAGGCTTTGCCCATACCCATTGTTAAATAAAAATCTGGGTATTTCAGATAGCAGGGTTTTTACGCTGAGGTTCCCATCTAAGAAGATACGCTGCCCTAAAAAGAAGGAGCCCCAAGATTATAACCTATAATACAAACTAAAGTTCTCTGCAGATGACTTGGACCTAAAAAATGGGACTGCTGTCAAACATGCAACAGAGTTAAATCACAACCTCATCCCTTAAGTGAGTAAGTGTCACTTTCTTTAGTTTCCAAGAGCCTGTTAAATCAAGCAAAAGTCAAGAGAAGGTAGCCATAAGGAAAAGGGTTTTTAAAAAGCTTTTGTGATACGTAAATCTGAAGAACCAGAGAAATGAGAAAATATTTTTATACACAAAAGTTCTGATTGCAGGGCAGTGACTAATTCCCTTCTAGAATGGCCGGTCCATACAAATCAGCAAAGTCTGACCTGAACAATGAGGGGGGGCAATAAAGGCTTTGGATGATCATTCTCAAGTTCTGCTTCCCCCCGTGCCCCGCTGTCGCAGGACTTCCCACTGTCCTGCAAGTGCAGTTTCTCACCTCTACAGCCAAACTCCTCTTTCATGTCCCTTACCCTTTGCAATGCTCCGTTCTTTGACTCCCTAGCTGGGTGTGCAGTGGCATGTGCGTTCCCCAGGCATTATTATAGACAAGACACAAGGTAAGGTGAGCTAATGTGGACTGGCACTTTCTATAGATGTGTAGAACAGGATCTGTGTGTAGTTTGTTTGCTAACAGACCACTTGCTAAAAAATAGGAAAAAGGCAACATTGTCCTAGACCACTGTCGTGGTTTGAACACAGCCAGCAGCCAAACACCACACATCTGTAGTACATGCAGAATTAGTCTCCACTCTAGCTTGGCTTTGGTAAAGTCTTGACTGTAGCAGTGTCCAGTTTGGGGGTCTGAAAATCAAAGAGGGACGTTAACCTACTGAATGGAGTCCAGAGAAAAACAATCCTTGTTTCACATTGCTGCAGAGAAGGAGGGAATAAAGTGATCTTGTTCTCCGTGGAGAGCAGCAGGCTTAACTCTGAGCAAGGGCGATTTCATTTAGACCTAAGGAAAACGTCTGAAGCACTGGAAGGGATTACTGACAGACTGTGGAGCCTCCATCACTGGAGATTTTAAAAAGCAGGACAGAGAAATGTCTCTCAGAAATGGGTTAGATGCAGTTGATCCTGCCTTAGGGCAAGAATACTGTCTAGATTACTTCAGAAAGTCCCCTGGTTTGTGGGGTTTTGTAGTTCATCTGAAGTTGGATCCAGCTCCACTTAACTCCAGTGCCTGAAGGAAGAGGAAGGGGAAAAGAGTAAGTGGAAAGGGAATTTTCCTTTTAAAAATTGTGCCATCGGTGCTAGAACAGTGCACAGTATTTCAAGTAAGTCTTCTGCTCTTGGGCACTGTATCACTTTTTTACATTTACTTTTCAAGGCTTCCTTAAGAAGCAGTTAACACGAAGCACTCCTATCTTTTGTGATGGCGTGGAAGAAAAGTGACCTCATTTTAAGAGAATTTGTGTCTTCCTCCAGTGCTAATTATTTTTCCTTCTTGCCAGGAAGTACACACAAATCTGTCAATACAATACCTCTCCCTCCTTTATTAACTTTTCCCGTCTTGCTAGAATGGTAGTCTTACAGCACTTTCATAGCAGCTTCAATCATACTTCAGATCAAAGTCCTGTTAGACGTGCTATGATATCACAAACAAAAGCCTCTTGATGACACATTATTAGAAGTTTCCCAGAGTCCTGCTGGTACAGCAGCTGTTGATACAAATTAAAATCATTCTAAGATGAATTATTTTGAATTTGCAGATAGGTTTGTCAGTAACCTGAATGCCCTTTGACTCCTAAAATTCACGCCGAGATGGAGGGAAGTATGACAGGTTCAGCAACAAGTTAATTTGGGGGAAGATCGGAGATAAGAAGACAAGGAGCTTAAACACAGCAGCCACCAGGAAGTTTAAAGTAACAGCTCGTACCCAAATAAGAGAATCGGTCACTGGCAGGGAGAAAGCCTTCGGCTGAGTTAAGGGGACTTTAGGTGTGGCTTTCTGCTCTGCTGTACTGTACAGAGGGAGAAAAACAAGGGAAGAGGAGGAGGCAGTGCAAAGTAAGGGACAGATACCCGTGTGGGGGGGTGCTCACGCTGCAGCAGCTGGCGTGGGGTCTTACTTCTCTCGACTGTTGCCCGGGATAGCTACCCAACTTGCCAGTGAGTCTTTCCATCCTTGTTAAAGCGCTGTCGATAGACCGCTAAAGCCAAGTAAATTCAAGAAAACTGCAGAGAGCAGGAAAAAAAACCCACCCAACTATGTGTGCTCTTTGCTGAGCTGACCAAATCCTTCACTCCTGTTTTGAGACATCCTTGTCTGTTCTTGCTTACCTCTGCGCAGTGGCAGTTAAGGCTGAAGCTTTCTGAAGGCAGCACCACCCCGCGTGGTGCCCCAGCACTGCTGCGCCTTGGCATTTGTCTGTGAAACACCCACCAAGTCCTCAGCAGCCCAATCTGAAGTCAGCTTGGCTCTGCCTTGAGCAGGCTGTTAGACAAGGGACTTCCAGAAGTCCCCTCCAATTTGAATGATTCTGTAATTCAGAAACACCGGACAGGAATTCAGTGGCTGGCACACACAAGGATGCAGCACGTGGAGCATTACTGGTAACGAGCCACTGTCAAATTAGAGAGCACTCTTAATGTTGTCATTTTACCAGCCAAGGTATGTTTTGAACCAGTAATTTGAACCCAGAGTGACAGAAGCTATAGCAGTAAAAGCACAGTTTTTGACTGCATGACTGTATCTGCACACGCATCTTGTGCCAGCATCAGTGTCAGTCAGATGTCCCACCACTGACTCACACAATTTACTTGCATAGGTCTGCACTCCTGATGTGAGAGAGAAGCAAGCAAGGAAAAAAAAAAAGAAAAAAAAAAAAAAAAACAAACCTCGCAGAAATAAAAACCTAAGTGTAGCACATACCTACAGTGAAGTCTCTGAATCCTTTTCTATCAGATCACTGAATTCACAGAGCTACCTGCAAGTCTCTGAACGCCTGGAAAACCTTCTAACAGTTTTATTAACAACTTCTATTTCCTGCTTTTGAATGACTGTCTCTTGGCTATGTAACCGTTAAAACACTGCCTGCAAGCTCTTTCTGAAGGAGCCTTATTCATACTTTCTTGAAAGATTGCATTATAACTCTCATACTGAGCACGTTTGGGATTAGGCCTTACGGGGTGGATCACTGCCTGGCCAAACCCAGGCTGACCAGGGCGTACAGTGCCGGTGTAATTTATGCCTTAGGGAAGTTTGGGAAGACACGTCATCAAGTGGTTGAGGCCAGGTCTTCATCCCTGCAGTAAAACTAAACTTAATCTTGTACTCAGCTCCTGACTAGCAAACAGGGTAGCAAGAAACTAAGACTCGGGAAAAAAAAAAAAAAAAATCACACCACAAAAGGTGGGCTATAAAGCACAAATTTCCAGCTGCCAAGGGCTGGTTATTCCTGAAGAGTAAGGCAGCTCCTGAGAATATTAATGTAATGTCAAAATGGGGACAACTCTCATACAGTTCTGTAAGTACCAGAGAGTAGGTAAGTGATCTAAAGGGGGGTGGAACCAAACCAGAACGCACTAGGAAGAAGGCCTACCTAGTGCTTGCAGAAATGTGGATACACACTTTTTGGTTGGTTTTTTTTCTCCCTTCTCATTACGTCACATCATCTCCACAGGTAACTTTGTACAAGGACTCTGAGGGAGAAGACTTTGGGTTCAGCGTCTCAGATGGTTTATTGGAAAAAGGCGTGTACGTTAAAAACATTCGACCAGCTGGCCCGGGCGATCTGGGAGGTTTAAAACCATACGACAGACTTTTACAGGTAATGTTTCTGGCACCACACAGGTTTAGCATGAACGGACGTGAGGTACAGCTCACTTGTCAGCTTCCTAAACACACCGCGGGATGTTCAGGGAGCTGTGTAACCCCGAGGGCACTGGAGGAAACTGCCAGGTGCTTTCACCACACCTTCTTACCTACATTGCTTATTATATTTTAAATTATGAGCAGTACTCTTCTTTTGTATTTCTGCTGGGAAAGGATGGGTGTAGGGGGTGGGAAGGACAAATGATCGTAATTGCTCTGTGCCGCAGGTCGATGTAAATCACTTAGACCCTCAGCACGAAAGGGCAGCGCTTCACGGCGGCTTGGGCTTTTTACGCAGGGGCACCAAGGCTAGACTTTTTTTTTTAAAGTCGTATTTGAAGAAACAAATTCTTTCAGAATGTTAGGTATTTCAGAGCTCCAAAGGAGACAGACAAAGGCTCCCGGGGAAGTTGGAATTTCCCAAGGCATTTCCAGACAGATTTGCAATTTTTACTATTCTTGATACTGATTTGAGAATTGATTCTGTGCTTAATCCAAGTTGCTGATCCACATGGTTGTAAAAATGTAATACTGAGTGCCACCCTTCCCACAGTGCCAAGTTGGACCATGATGGAGAAAGTAAATTTCTGCCAGCTTGCCCAATAAAAATCTTCATATATTAATTAAAACCAGAGGAGGCCTGAACTGAGTTGAAATTATAGATGTGATCTGTTGCATTTAAATTAATGAACACCGTGAAAGACAGAAAAACTACGTGCTGTGAAATGTCACGTATGGAGTGGGCATTGTGACAGCTGCCACCACCTGTCACGGGTGTAAGTGTGCCCACTTCAGCTGCAGTCTGTTAAAGGGCGAGCAGAGAACTTAACTGGTGTCAGCAGAACAGGTGCCGCGCTTAAATCGCCTTGTACAGATGAGTCTCTACCTGGAATATTTAAATCTGTTTCTCTTGTGATCTCCTTTCTTTTTCCTAAAACGGGAACAAAAATCAATCTTCTAATCGCGCAGGTAAACCACGTTCGCACCAGAGACTTTGACTGCTGTCTAGTTGTGCCCCTCATCGCAGAATCCGGCAACAAGCTGGAACTGGTGATCAGCAGAAACCCCCTGGCATCTCAGAAAGGAAGCTCCGACCAGCAGACTTCAGCGAGCGGGGAGTGGAGTGATCAGAGCAATGCCTTCCTTCAGCAGAGTGGACACGCCAACATTCATACGGAGACACGGGATCCTACAAATACCTTATAGCAGAAAACCATTCTAGTGGGACATTTGGCAACGAAAGATAATTAATGGTGCTAAATCCTTTGAAGATTTCTCTGAGATTGAGGCTCAGACACTATCTAGCACTAAAAAGCACAGGAGGTCAGGCTGTCTGTCTCAAGGCTTATATTAATTCACAGTTCCTTTGGAAAAAGTTTAATTCTTTGTTAAGTCAAGTCATTCCATTCTAAGCAATCTATCGTTAGCAACAGTATGAAGACTCGTAAGGACCTTTTTTCCCCCCCAAATAAGAACCTGGGGAGAGGTCTGAAACATGATTTAAACGTTCCTCTCCCTTCATCAGCAGCCGCTGGTTGAGGGAAAAAGCACAGAGTTAACCTCTGCTAGCCCTGCTGCCCAGGTGACGTGCTTTTTAAAAACATTTTATCAGAAAGATGCCGTCTGATGGACAAGGAGTGGTCTCGCTGCACCGGGTTTTCTTGTTTAACGGCGACACCCGTGATGGTGGGGCCCCCGGCCCTGCTGGCAGGAGTGCCCCCTTCGGCCACAGCCCGCTTTGGAGGTGGTACCAAAACGCTCGCAGGCAGCCGCAGGACGCGGTGACCGCTGCTCCCCACCTCGGGTAAATTCTGTTGGAACATGTTATTCCCTATGCAATGAAATAGTTCCTGGTCTGTCTCGCAACCTGTGGGGATTTTGAAGCAGCGACTTTTTTAGTGGGTTGAAACCTCAGAAGGAGGATTACTAGCAAGAGTAAATCTGAAACGAGTTGAGACAAATTAGAAAGGTTTTAAAAGAAAATGGCTTTCTCAAAACTATGTCAGTGGAGGATCGAGACAAAAGCTCTTTCATGATACATAGACCTGTAAACTTGTACTGTCACACGTGAGCTTTTTAAGTCAAACAACTTCTTGAAGGGACTAAAGTCCCGTTTAATATGCTTTGTTTTCAGCCTTCTTTATGATAAACGTTACCCCCTGCAACACGTTTTTAGAATTTAAAATTGTAAATATCTTTTACAAACACATCAAATTCTCTCTTCTCCCCTCTCCCCCCAAGCAATAAAAGAACTGCCAGTTGCTTTATATGCTCACCAGCAGCTGCTTTGGTTTATTCCAGTCTTCAAGTTGTTATTGGTAATTCTTGTTCTTGGTGAATATAAAGATACTGGATTTGTACATTTGTAGAGTCTCCATATCTAAGCAATCACCTCACAGAGTTGTTTCTGGTCAATTTAAACTGTTTAACTGTAGCCCTGTTGCTGTTTCCAATACGTGAACGAGCTCACCTGCCCTGCACACTCAAGTATCTCCGATTTCTATTTCAGCACTGCCAGGAAAGGTCAGAATGACATTCAATGCTGAATCATGTTAAAAAAAAAAAGTTCATGAGTCACTTAAATATGTATTTTTATTTGTAACAAATAAGTATTAAACTGTAAAGTATTTTTGTACAAATTTAATACTTTAATAGCATGATATTTATCGTCTATGTTATGTTTTTTGAAAATCAAACTGTTGCAAATATTTGTATGGAAAAACTGCATAAATTGAAATAAACAGTGATTTAAAGACATTAAAAGTGAGATCGCATTTTTCTACTTTAATTTTTTTTTCTACAGTTTCAGCAAAAAATACCATGTTTATTTGTGGTACACTTTTTCCTGCCATATGTATAAAAAAAAAATAGTTAAAAGCAAAGCTGTCCAAAGTTTAGTGCAATTTGATGTCTGATTAAACATTCAGCTTATTAATGACAATGCAGCAAGTCACACAGTACACAAAAAAGGTTGGAAGTGGAATGTTATTTGTACTCTGACTTGGAATTTTGCTTTTCTTACCAAGATCATTATCAGCATGTAACTATTACCTAAAGCAGCCATGGCAAGTTCTGTTTGCCTTTTGAGTACAAAGTGGGGAAAATTTTCGATGTCACTGATTGCAGCTTTCTTGTTCTATTTGTAACAAGATTAAAATCCATAATCTGTCAAAAGCTTCATGCCCGTAACTCTGCCACATCAGACAAATCTGAAGAAGTCTCCCTTGTAAACTATTTTTTGACTCGAGCAAATGTGAATTTTGGCACATCCATAATGGCTTCTCATCAGGTCTGTTGCATGAGGAGATGGCTAAATCTTGCTATGGATGGTCTTTAAACCTAGAAAGCCCCATGTATTTTTTAAGGGAACGTCTAGATCCTATACGACCTGTAAGTTCATTCTTCACCAAAAGAATGATACGATTTTTGTCGACTGACACACCAAAGGATCTCCTACTAAAAACAGACCAGTGAAAATGCAAAAGGCTCACTTAAAACAAGCTGTTCTTCATAGAACATGCAAATACAGAAAAGCCTTTGAAAATCATCTGCATGCCCAGCTTCTCTGTTCCAAAAATCTTGAATGAAACAAGCTCAAGAAAGGTTCATAGCAAGGACGATTAATTGTCTGTTAGTTTTTGAAAAGCTTCCTAGGAGTTGGTTGTCCCAAAGTTAGATTCTTAAGTCTGGTACACCCAAGTGGGGAATCTTGTGATGTTGACTGCAAAACAAACCAAAGACGTTATCAGAGTTTGAACCAGAACTCGTACAATAACATCTTCCAAAAAAGCTCTTTCCCCACGACAGAGCTCAGAAAACAGATAAAATGAAAAAAGCACGTTAAGCATGTTTGACTGTATAAAAATCAGCTGCAATGATTAAATTTTATATTAATCTTTCCCAGCAGGTCAGCTCCTAAAAACTGACTTCTGTACACACAAAGGATAAGCTAATACAGGCTAAGCTAGCCCAGAGGCCACTCCAATGAGTGAGAAGAGGTATATATTTACTGCAACTGACATTAGAACTTATTTTTCCTTATTAGTCATATATTACTCTGGGAAAACACCTGCCAATCTTGATTGATATCCGCCAATCTTGATGACCAACTGGTCATCTTGAAAACTGTTAGATAAGTAAAACAATCATAACAGTACCCAGGTGACTTGTGGTGGTGAGAGAGAGTTTTAAACTCTCTCGGTGAGGCGATACTTACAGAGGGTATTTTCGTAGCATCCTCAGAATCCTCTGCAAGAGCTTGTTGTCTTTTGCATGGATTTTGCTGCCAACCGCTCACCTGCTCTTCACTGGGAACTGCTGACCCTCCCTGCTCGGTCGCACCGGTCGGAGGCTGAGGTGGGTCAGCAGCGCCTCGAGTTCCAGGCACAGGTCGAGCCCCAAGCCCTTGACTTTGGCAGCTCTTCGTCAGGGGAGAGGAAGTCTGTTGGGGGCAGCTGCTCGTTTCTGCGATTGCCTCTCTCAAAAATCTCTGCAAGCGAGTTTTTCTGGGCACATTCTTGTTAGTGACTGCCCTCCTGAGGTGCGGCTCCTCCGCTATAACATAGACACGGCAGCGCCCTCTGGTCACGGCGGTGTACACGTGCTGCCAGTGCTGACGGCCAGGGCTGCCCACCACATAGACAACAGTTTTCTCCTCAGAACCCTGAAACATGTTTAAGGACGCCTCATCAAATTAAGATCAAGAACCAGTTTTGGCTTTTTTTTTTTTTTTAAAAAAAAAAAAAAAGCTTACAAAGAACAAGGAAGTTGCAAGGACACTTTCAAGAGTATCTTCCATCCTACATTCAAGAAATTTCAGTTTCAAGACAGCTTCTTACTCTTTCCCATGAAAATACAGTGCATTAGCAAGATAAAGCCATGAGAGAGTTTTATTAGCTCATAGCTACTTTTTTTTTTTTTACCTGAAATGTGTGAATCGTTCTGGCCCATGCATGTTTTATGTGACACAGCTTCTTCAGTGCCTTATACTTCACTGTGAAAGTGGAGCCGTAGTTGCTGCTGATGGTCAATAAATGCTGTTTATCAATTTCTACATCCTAAAGAAACAGCACAAGAACACTCAGCAGTAAGCTTGTATCAGCAGTTTGATCCATGTCTGTACAGCTCTATGTCCACATTCTTGCTTTCCCTGAAATTATAATGGCTGCAACATCAGCCGAGCGAAGTGGTTTAGTGTCTTCTGAAACCCAAAAGACTGCTATCTTTCACTGACCACCTTCAAGGAAAATAGTTTCCCTGCACAGGGCCTACCCTAACTCCTGTTCAGTAAGAAAAATGCTGAGAAAGGCAGTTTAGCCCCCAGAAAACTTAGATTATCCTAGCGTACAGCGATACACACCGCTGAGGCTGTTCTTTAACCGTGTGTCGCCACTAAGGGAGCGGAGCCTACTCTCCCCCACCAACCCTGTGTGGTCCCTTTCCCACACACTAATATTGATACTTTCACTGGACCCTTTGCTGAGTCAACTCCACTCACTGAACCCAGCAGGAAAATGCAGTATTTTGTTGCTGTATTTTTTGGTCAGCTTAGTTTTCCACCAGGGGAGAGCTCAAGCTGTAGCATTAGCTTTATTCTTTACTTAAGACTCTATTTTCCACCTACATCGAAAACGTTGTCCATTTCAATCACGACACATCTGAGTATTTACAGAATGTATTTACACTGGACATGAACAGACCAACTGAAATACATTTTACAAAAGCGCCCCAAGATTTTTTCTTGTAATTCTTTACTGTGAGTCTGCCTCTTTCTTGCCTTTCACTTGATAGTTTAGCAGAAGAATTAAGTATATATATTATGGACTAAAATTATGAGGTATGAAATGTTTTGTTCTGGGGATTCAGCAAGGACTGAATCAGTTAACCACTGGGGGGTTTTTGTGCCACTTCTTGCAGCAAGGACTTACGTCGGTTATGAAAAATATATCTCCATTGCACAGCCGCCTGCCCTCCTCAGCACCCTCCGCAGTGAGGGGGGTTTCTCTGCTTCTGCGTTCACGGTGATTAGGATCTTCCCTGAAACCACTATCTGGCACGAGATCCTTGAGATATGTATTCCTCGTGCAGGAAATCTTGTCACCAATTTGAAATAAAAGCCGGTTTTTATGGTCTCTAGGTCAGAGACAGGAAGAGGGAGAAATGCATTTACAAAATATGCGCTTACCCTCTCTGAGTGTTTCTTCTCCTTCCCCTCTCTATACCTGGGCCAGATTAAAAACCTTAATAATGTCCAAAACAGTTAAGACAACTCACATTTAAAAGATTTTTCTTGAACTTTTGTAAAACTTTTTGGTAAAAACCAGTAATACAGAGTAACACCAAAATTGTGCTTCCAAAAATATTTCAGAATCTATTTAGAAATCATACAGTGGCAAAAAAATAATCAACCTCGAGGGGTTTTTTTCAAGTTGCTTTTATGTCAATTTTAAATATTCAGCAGTAACTCGCAATCCTGGAATTCACATAAACTGCCTTTCATTTAAATGAATTATGTCACCTCCGCTCACAGTCCAGGTTGGGATTAACACACCCAAAGAAAGTTAATTACATACATGATTTCTAGCATGAATAATTGCATCTACATGAAAAATTAAAATTTCTACAATCTTATTTTACGTTGTTGACCTGACTGTAACACTTTCAAAAACAAAGTGAGATTATTCACAGGAAAAATTGCAGAACACTGGCTTACCTGGTTACATGATTTGAATAGTGTTGGCAACAAAGTTCATTTATTAGATCGCAATCTTGCCTAAATCATACAAAACGAGAACATGAACAAAATCATGATGTACAAAATACGCAGTTACATGTACTGTTACATTAGAATTAATTTATAAATAATGGAAAATGCCCATTTTAGCTATGATGATCTTCCACCAACAATTAAAAACAACTGCTGATTCAGTTTAGAAGATGGAGCAGTAAAGGAACAACTTTGTCTAAATACCATAGAAAGTGAGGGAAGGATGTTTGCAATGCATACCTAGAACAGCCAGATTTGGTTTTAAGCTGAAAGAGAAAACTGAGGAAAAACTAAAGCCTGGATATATTCTTTTCTGTCTGTGGAGATATTAAAAATAGTCAGAAGTCTTATTTGCTTTTTAAAGACCTAGAATTTTAACTTTTAAATGCGGATTAAGCAAAACAGGTGAACTAGCTAAAACTTATAAATTGCTTATTTGCCCACTAATAACCTGTAAATAGGGGCTGTTTTTTAATTGCTGAGAAAAGACTTTTCACAAATAAAAGTGGAAGAGTTTTTTCTTAAGTACCCTACTGTGCAGAAGTGTAAATTCATGGACTATTGATACTACTGGACGTTACACTTATCCCTTCAGTGTGTTTCTGTGAGGCCCTCCATACTACTCACGCTCCTGTGATGGTTCACATTATCAGCAGCTACCAACCTTTCCAATTTTTCTTCAGAGTGTGCTAGAGTCCTACACCTCACCCCGTCCTAAATGATGAGTATTGTGCTTCCAAAGAGCCAAACTGCAGGCATCCACCCCTGCCCGGCAGGAGCACTAATGCCCATCAGGTTATATGACTAAATCTGGCCCTTCGCACATGGTCAAAATGCAAGTCTCTTCTGTCATTTGGTCACTGGGACAGAAGCCTGTACAGCCAGTACGTTACATGTCCATCACACACCCTGGAATTCACATCTGCCACGATGGCAAGCATTTGAATATACATTTCTTTGTATTTTGTGGGTTCTTCCCACGGTCAAGCCCTCACCTTTTGCTTCTGAAGAACACAGCGCTGTTAGCAAACACCAGAGCACGGGCTCTCAGAGAATCTACTACAACTGACCACTTATGTCCATCCTTTGTGTCTTTAACATAAACAGTACAGATGAACGTGAGCTCAAAGGCAAATCACAGTGCAAATTAACATTAAGTTTACAGAAAAACAAAGCAACTCTCTATGGAGAGACAGGGAGCAATCAGAAGTTACAGGAAAAGACACCGGGCCTGTTGCTCTCTCTAGTAATTTTATGATATTGCCACTAGTCTCTCCAACTTGACACATTCAGTTATTTTTAGGTTGTGGCTGCCAGCAAGGAATTTTTCAACACCTGTCTGCATGATCCGTTACCTTCTGAAAGCAATGAACTGTGATTGTTTGGCATCCTGCAAACCTGGTCCTTTTTTAAGTAAAGTCTTTATGGCAGCTTGCAAATCTGTTTTAAATGACACAACAGGTAAGGCACTGAATATGCAGAACAAGCAATTTAAGAAAGAAAAACATAATTCAGTATGAAATTGCCTGTGCTTATTTCTTGCTTCAATAACATTTCACCTTGCTTCAAACAACAAAAAAACCCACAAACACACACACTCAAAAAAAAAAAAAAAAAACACTCCACAAAACATCTACATATATACTCCCCCCAAAACAGTATCACAGTTATCCCACTATTAAAAACTGAGAAACAAGAGTGATATGGAAAGAGAGAAATTCTTATTTCTCTGTGTTCAACAACTGCATAGAGCGTATTTCATGGAAAATAAAGTTTTGATATAGCACATTAGAGGTAAAGATAGACCATTTTCAAGCCACAGACCTATATGTTTAGATTTCACAGAAGAAATCCATTTCTAGTATTCTGTTTGCTGAGTAAGTTGCTCTGGTAAGACAAGGTGATAATATTCACACTATTTTTATTTCCACATCCCCCCTGAAACTTTTTGATGTTGATGAGTAGAGGCCACTCAATCGACCTAACCAATAAAGGTCAAAAAAACAAAACAAAGACCCTGAAGCCGACCCCAAAACATTTCTGAAGAAATATTGGTGTCCCCTCTGTTTCCATTTTCCTAACTCAATTCTACAGTTGGAAGCACATTCCTGTCCGACACACCATCCTGTCACAGTTACTGTTTACTCAAATGATTCAACTCTGAAAAATTTGATCTTTTAAGGTTTGACAGCTCCCACTGTAACATAAAAAGATGATTACATTTGATTACATAGGTGGAATCTGTACCACCCCCATTTCAAAATGCAACTGGTAATCTGGAACTCTACAGTGTATCCTTTGCACTTCTGGGTCTTGCTGTGTGCACTTACCGAAAGCAAAAGGTAAATTATGAACCCAGCATTTAAATTTTTACCACAAACAAAACCAGACTAAAATCTTCCCAAAATGCTAGTTCCAGCCAAATAGTCTACGCTTTACCAAAGACAAAGTCAAGGTCACAAACTGGTTGTACACACGTACCATCACAACGCCACCCAGCAGGCAAAGCAATAAGAATGAATTTCTTCTCCGGGCTTGGCATTGTCATTTCCTCATTCCAACCAGAAACTTTCAACACCTCATCAAACTCAGGAAGCTTCCGGTGAGAGATTCTTCACCAGAGCAGGAGGGAAAACAGAAAAGAAAAATTGTTTCCAGTTAACGGATTCCAGCTCATCATCATCTGCATCAGACTGAAGTTTGCCATTTATAAATTTTTTGTCATCTACACTGCATACACCAAAAACTCTTTCTTCTGATCATAATTTAATTTCACATTAAAAAAAAAAAAAAATGGTAATTTATTCTCTAAACCCTTCAGCACTGCAGTAGAAACTGACTTATTATCCATACAGTTCTCCTCGTGGGAGCAGACTGGAGTAACACTGAAGTGTTACTGGAAAAAAAAGTGAGAGTGTAAAACACTCAGTCATTCTGGACATCTTGCAAATGTTCAGAATATTCTCAAATTTCAATCAACATCAAAAGGTCTTGGACACTTGCACCTAGACTTTGTTGTCTCAGGTTTAAAAAAGAAATCATGCACTAACAGTAAACAGGATTATTTCGAGACCAGAGCAATGCAAATGCTTGAAACATTTAGAGGTTTCAGGTATTAATACAGCAAAAAATAAACTATGATTTAATGGCCTTTGACATCTAAACTCTCAATGTAATTCAGTCCGGTTTAGCTCTCATCACACTTACCAGCAATGTCTTTAAACTTCCTTTTTAGAGAAACAATTGCAAATAATTTCAGAGACAAAGTGGTTTGTGCATACACAACTCATTTGAAAACAACACAGAATATTTGATAGTGAAATATGTCCCATAAAATTCAAGAGTATTTCAGCACACGCATTTTTTTTGTCCAATACATACACTTCTGGAAAAAAAATGTGGGTTGTCATTGTTTTGGGGGCTGTTTTTGTTTGGTTGGGTTTTTTAAAAAAAAAAAACAAACTAGTGTTACTGATTTTGAATAAGAAACTGTAGCAGCAGCAGTACTATAGAGTCAAATCTGGATGCTCTAGTATTTTGCAGGTAAAGGACCAGGACTACTACGAGAATGCTTCTTACATACAAGAGGAAGTCCTACCTTGATGCATTATCTACAATTAGTTGTGATTCAGCTCTGTGATTAGTTCGCAGTTCCACGGAAAAGCCTCTTGATTTTAGACCCTCAAAGATATCAGCTAACATGTTTCCTGGGTCTATGCTTGGCAGCTGTCTAGTATCACCTAAAAAGAATGCAAATTAGTGAGAAGCAGTAACATATCATCTGTTAAAAACTGTTTGAAACCAAAAAACCACCGGAATTAATAAATATTCAACCCTCTACATACTCACGTGCTTCCTCAATACAATTCACATGAAATAAAACTTTCACGAATCTAAGAAACTTTGGGGAATCGGCCTATAGTGTAGTTTAAATTTTTCACATTCCTCACTCAGTAACATTTTACAAGCATGTGCAAACCACTCTGCACGATGAACACTAACAGTATCACATCTTATTCAAACACATCTTGAAAGTTACATATTTAAAAACAAATGCCATAAATGGCATACCAAAAAGCAAACCTCTGAGAAAGAAGAAAATTTTGATTTTACACTTCATTGTTTTCCTTTCTTATTTAAAACAAGATGATCCTAGCATTAAGAATGACACAAAACCTCCCTTCAAACATGGGATTAACACGCTAACACTAGCTCCTTTAAATTTGAGGAAAATCTGAGAAGTTTTCCAGTTGCAGGAAGTAATAAACTACCACATGGAAGTCATAATACTTTCAGAATGAGACAAAACACTCCTAAACAGAGAAGGGAGACACTGATACTTTCATACTGACAGCTGAGATGGAAAACTCTCTCTCTTATCTGACCTATGAATAAGCAAAAATACTCAAGTACAGAACAAGGTAAGATTCTGGAGTTTTTAGAGACTCAATGAGACCAGTGGCAGCTCTGACATTTACACTGTATATTGTCTATTATTCAAAACTGTATAATGCTAAATTTGCTGTTTCACTTACCTAGAATAATAAGCTTGGCAAGCTGAGCATGATCACACAAGAGTTTTAAAACTAAACTAAGAATGTGCACAGACACCAAACTTCCTTCATCCACAACCAAAATCGTCACAGTAGAAAACCTCCATGGCTGTACTTGTTCACTCTGCCTCCACGATTTAAAACTATAGATGATCTAGAAACAAATCAAAATAAATCAAGCTCTGACACTAATCAACTGTAAACCACTGTCTTATTAAGATACCACACTCTGGCTACATTTATCATGTTGTATTTAGAGCTATTATCTGAAATTCTGAACCTAAACCTGTGAAGACTCAAAAGACTCAACCATTCAGTCTTATTTCCCTCCTTGGTGAATATATTTCTAGCTGAGGTTATCAACACACACTTACATAAAAGCACAGAAATGCATCCTTTTTTTTCTGCAGTGACCCTACAGGATATAAGGCCAGCCATTAGGTTGCTCAGTAACAGAACACCTCCTGCAACAACTTGCTGACATTAATAAATCCCCAACATTGCACAGGAAAGCAGAACATCCAGTTCTCAAAGATAAAAGAAGCACACAGGACTTTTTATGTTATTATAATTTTGATTTATACAGGTCATTCCACACCTCCAACAAAATCTCAATACCTTCCACTATCTAGGACAACAGAGAGTTGACCTAAATTTATTAACACAGAGTTTGCTTTCCACTTTTTCCTAAAAAAAATTGCACAATATTTAACAGTCATTAAGAAAACACTGTGTGAATTAAATTTATCTTGCTATTCAACCCCAAGCTACCGATCTCTTCATGTATGTACAGGTAGGTATCAGCATGACTGCTAGGCAATGGGACACTAGAGAACAGCTCTGTCATCTAGAAAGTATTTTTGTCTTAAAAAAAAAAAAACAAACAAACAAAAAAAAAAAACAAACAAACAAAAAAAAAAAAAACCACACAACTGAGAAGCTAAAAAGACCCGATGCCCTAGAAAGGCACAAATTGGAGATGTGTATAACTCGAAAATAAACCCCCAAAGTTACAGCAAATTATGTGTTTCAAATGACTGATTTATTATTTCCCAAAATGTAACACTGACTTTCAAATTCTGACAAGCTGTACCTAAGCATTTTCATTAATAGCTACACATTTCATAAGGAAAGTTCAGTAACAAGTCTTTTTTCAAAACAAGAATGGAGAGTGCCAAAAGGTCTTTCAGAACACAATTTCAAGGAATAAATAAAAAAAAAAAAAAATCCTTACCTGATGCAGTGTATATGCAGGAAGCTGAGTTTTTTCACTCAAAAGGCTTGCTGCCCTCCCTGTAGGTGCAGTAAATAGTACATTCAAACATCTTTTTGTGTATGTATTCTCTGACTCCCAGTGATGATCAAGGGTATTCCATTCCTCAGATGCATCCAGGTCTTCTTCAAAGTCCTTAGAAGCAGCTTCCACTTCTTTTTCCATCTGCTTTAAGTGGCGAAAAAGGCAGCTAACTACTGTACTCTTCCCACAGCCTCCTTTTCCACTTATGATTGTGACAGGATTAGAACAAATCTTTTCCATAGCAATCAGCTGATCCAAGTCTACCTCTTCTTTACTCTGGGTACCAGACACAGACTCCACTTCCTTTTCAGGAAAGTGATTTTCACAGTTATGATTGTCTGGACTATTTTCCTTCAGTTGTTCCTTTTCACAAGCCTGGGTAACATTAATTTTGTTATCTACCATTTCTCTTGATGTCTCAGAAGTGTTAAGTATCTTTCTCACATCAACATTCAGTTGCCATGAGCGGTTTGACAGAAGGTCACCTATACACATTGCAATGTCTCTTTCGGATTTATAAAGATGAGGCAGAAACACTAGTTTTTTCTCCCTAATCACTACATTCTGATCTTTCAAAAATACAAGAGATTGCCAAACATGCTCAATGGACATATCTTTAGATACAAAACGAGCTAATTCATCTTGATCTTCATAAGTGTGTCCCATTTCTCTACACTGTTTCTTCAGTCGGTCATACAGAATTAATGCATTCTTCTGCAAGTCAGGAATCTTCCAGAGGAGATGTTCACACTGACAGAAGGCGGCCCATGTTGCCTCACAGTTAGAAAGCTTCAGTTCCCTATAGGTAATCTTCTCCCCAAAAGGAATAAAAGCAAACATGTATTTATTTCAGATGATGTTAGCCTCTTGTTGAATAACATGCCTCCTAGTAAATACCAACTGCGATTCAGAGTGGAAGTCTAGAAAAAATTACATCTTTTTCATAATGAACAAAGTTATAATTCTTTTCAAGCTATATAAAAGCAAAGTATTTTAAAAATATGGAATGATAATTCCTCCCAGTCACCCTTCTGTATAAAACAGAAACTTTAAAACTCAAAAACCTGGCACTGAAATTAGGTGTTAGGAAGAACTCATGCACACCCGATTAGTACAATTTCAAGCAAAGGCACAAAAACTGTAGAAACACAGCACAGGAAAGGCATTAGCCAGAACACTGTACCCAATTCTGAACACGCTACTTCAAGAAAAGTTAGAAAAGAAAAAGCTCAGCTCGAATTGAAATTGGCCAGAGGTGCCAAAAACTACAGAAAGGGTTCTTCAGGTACATAAACAGCAAGGAGAAACAGAAGAAAAACACTGGCCCACTGTTTAACAGGAGAGGGGAATTAGTCACCAACAATGCTGAAAAGGCAGAGGTCAGAAACAATTTCTTCACCTCTCTCTTTACCAGCACTGGTTCCCAGGCCTTGGGAACAAAAATGCAGGTTGATGCAAACACAGACCCACCATCAGTGAAGGAAGAGTTGGCATGCAAACTATTACAGGATTTTGACCCCAAATCCATGAGCCCTGACATTATCCACCAGAGGGTGTTAAGAGAGCTGGATGATGCCATTGTGAGGCTGCTCTCCATAATCTCTGAGAAATCGTGGAGATCAGGGGTGTCCCAGAAGTCTAGAAGAAGGCTAATGTCACTCCCATCTACCAGAAGGGCTTAAAGGAGGATGCAGGAAATCATAGGCCCATCAGCCTTACTTCAATCCCTGGGAAAGTTATGGAACAAATCCTCCTGGAGGCTATCACAAGTCAAATGAAGCAACTGACTGGGAAAATCCAGCATGGATTCACCAAGGGCAAATCCTGCTTGACAGACCTGACCACCTTCTATGTCAAAGTAACCTGCTCGGGTGATGTGGGGTGAGTGGTGGACACTGTCTACCTGGATTTCTCCAAGGCTTTTGATACAGTTCCCCACAGCCTCCACCTGGAGAAACTGGTACCTTACGCTCCAGACAAGCGGCGTGTGCACTGGGTGAGGAACTGGCTGACAGGCTGCACCCACAGGGTGCTGGTAAGCAGCTCCTTTTCAAACTGGCAGCCTGTCACATGTGGGGTCCCCCAGGGATTAATACTGGGCCCTTCATAAGTGATCTGGATGACAGGATCAAGAGTACACTGATGAAATTTGCTGATGATACCAAACTGAGTGGGGAAGTGGACACTTCGGAAGGGAGAGCCACCCTGCAGGAAGACCTGGATAGGCTGGAAGAGTGGGCTAACAAGAACCTTATGAAGTTCAACAGGACAAGCGTAAGGCCTTGCACCTGGGAAAACACAATCCAGGAGTGCAGCACCGACTGGGATCTACCTGGCTGGAGAGCAGCTCTGTGGAAAGGGACCTGGGGGTCCTGGTGGACAACAAGCTCTACAGGAGCGAACAGTGTGCTGCAGTGGCAAAGAAAGCCAACAGGGTGCTGGGTTGCATCGACAAGGGCATCACCAGCAGCAATAAAGAAGTCATCATCCCACCCTACTAGGTGCTTGTCAGGCCACGCCTGGAATGCTGTGTTCAGTTTTGGTCCTGGCTATATGAAAAAGATGGGGACAGGCTGGAGAGGGTCCAGAGGAGGGCACAAAGGTGATCAAGGGACTTGGAAGCCTGTTGTACGAGGGAAGGCTGAGAGAAATGGATTTGTTCAGCCTTGAGATGAGAAGGCTTAGGGGAGACCTTATCATCATGTGCCAGCATTTAAAGCGTGGCTACCAAGAAGATGGAGACTCAGTTTTTACAAGGAGTCACATGGAAAAGGCGAGGGGTAATGGGTACAAGTTACTCCTGGGGAGATTCTGATTGGACACGAGAGGAAAATTTTTCACAGTGAGAACAGTCAGCCACTGGAATAATCTCCCCAAGGAAGTGGTGGATTCCCCAACACTGGACACTTAAGATTCAGCTGGACAGGGTGCTGGGCCATCTTGTCTAGACTGTGCTTTCACCAAGAAAGGTTGGACCAGATGATCCTTGAGGGCCCTGTCAACCTGGCATTCTATGATTCTATGACAAAATATAGAACCTTTATAGAGACTACCATAAAACAGTAAAAGACTGAGACGTGCAAAAAAGATTAACTATTAAGGGGAAGAAAAATGAACTGGACTTGCTGAGCCTTAAGAGAAAAAGCTAAAGAGAGTCCTCAAGCAATAAAAAAAAATCTGCAGTGAGAATGGTGGTCCTTGGTACAAGAAATAAGAAAGCAACAAGCCTACACTGCATCAAGGAACAGTCAAATTGGAGATCGGGAAAAGCTTTTTAAAGGACAGTATGTGAATATATTGGCTGGACTGCTGAATCTCTGGAACTGGAGATCTTAAAGACAAGTCAGAACATCTGTCAGTAAAAGCACTGGGGCGCTGAAGCAGAGGGATTAACTAAACACATTTCTGAACTATTAAACTATAGGTCCCATCTGAGGTACAGGAGTGCCAAGGTGAGGTGCAGCAGCAAAGCTGCACAGCAAGTGTAGCAAAGGGAAACAGGAAGGTTAGTGGCAACCACAAATCCCATTATAAGAAATGAGAACCACTAGACCAGATGACTTCTTTACAGAGTAACTTATCTACCTTACTATAAAAGCACAGATACTGTTCTATGTATTCAGAACTGAAAATCTAATTTGTCAGCATAAAACTGAACAAGACAATGGAGGGTTTTAAATCAGTTTTCTTACTTTTGGCACAATTGCCTCAAGTATTTAATTTTCTGTTCCTTGTAGAAAAGATTAAATGAATGGTTGTAACAAAACCACTTTTAAAAATCTTCTGAGATTAATTTATTGTAGACCAACTGGGAAAAAAAAACCTTTGCTAAAACTGAGTCCAGTACATCATCCATTTCCAAATTAACTAAATTTACCTCCTACAACTGCCCAATTAATAAACAGACAGTAACTGAAACAGCAGTGTATTCTAATGAAACTCAAATGTAACAAACATCACATTTTTTACCTGGCTTAACATTACTTACCCTGCTGAATCCAAGTTTCCATGGGTCATTATTTAATATCTCATCTAATTTTGTTAGCATATTGTCTTGAAAATGTATTTCCTCACCATCCGTAGCACTGTTTTCTTCAGTCTTTATGGGACAACACATCATTTCCAGTAGGCAGCAAAAATGGCGCGGCAGGAGAATAGGCAAGAACTCCAATATCATCGGAGAAGTCAGAGCTACCAATACCGCCTTTCCTGCAACTGTATGCACCATAAAACAAGGAAGTTTTAAGCAACATACAAAGATATTTGTAAAGGCAATTTCAACTGACTCTGACTTTTATTCTTCTGCCTCTCCTGCATCCAAAACATCTCAAATTTCTTTCAGTTTCTTAATTCTTTGGAATCCCTTTCAAATTCTTTTGAAGTCTCTTTTCCCTGAACTGCCTTGGAAAAAAATGATGTAAACAGATGACCTAAAAACTGCAACTAAGTGTATTTATTTGGAAAACACGTATCATACACTTGGTTTAAACTGCATACTCAATAGCACTTTGTGGAAAGTCAGTTCAGACCTTACCACACTCGCCCCTCACCTAAATCTTATTTTCATACAGATGTAGAGAAGAATGTTTAAAAATCCCAAATAAGAAAAGATGCTTCTAAATTTGTAGTATCAGATCAATAGAGGAACTTAAGAAAACAGCACTCTCCACTGGCTTTCTCAATGACCCCAAACTTAAACTATCACTTTCCCCTGTTTGTAACAGCATTGGGATCTACAAAAGCGGGATAATAAAACAGATTTGCTCTATACCTTGCTTTTAAAAACACATTTTAGAAGAAAGTGAGACTTTTAGAAGTTTTATTGCTTGCCAGAAGAAGAAAAAAAAAAAAAAAAAAGAAACCAAACAAAAACCCCCCAAACAATTATTAATTGTTAAGGAAACTTTGTAATTCCAAATTTAAAACATTAATTTTTCTGATCACTGTCTTACCTACAGAAAGGAAAAGATAAAACTTTTTCCCTTTAAAGCAAGCACTTATTTCAAGGACTTAGTTTACACATGGAGAATCAACACATACTATTTCCACACAAAAATATCATGAAGGCTTGAAGAACAAACTGCTTGAGCCCATAACAATTAATGACAACCATAAAAAAATGCCAATAGTAATAGTAGTAACATGACATCCAAGGGGATGGGTGGTTGTTTCTATTGCCCAATGACAGAGAAAGAAGAAAGCTTAATTTGTAGCAAAGTAATTTAAGTTAGATATTAGGAAAAATCCGCAAACTACAACAGTGAACATAATACCCAGGCACACTGTGCAGTCTTCGCCCCTGCAGATTCACAAAGGTACTGGACAAGCCTCAATCAAAAGTGATCCATACATCCCACTAAAACACCCAGTGAACTAGATCCAAGTTTCTATCACTATCAATTCCCATCCCTCTGTGGTCACAAAAAGATCTATAGTCCATAAACAGCGATTAAGGACTTTTCTACCATTACAAAACCAGAAAAAAACACCTGACAGTCCACAGAACTGTGAAAATTTTCCACTCCTTACACATATTATCCGGAGTAAAGTCAGCTCAAGTCTAGCAGAGGCTACGATCTCTCCTGTTAGACATGATTTGACCTCCGAAATAGTCACCTCCATCTTCTGGCCTGACACTCCCACTAAACTAGGTACTGGAAGACTTCATTTGCCTGCACCTAACAGTAGACAGACACAACGTGTCTGTGCAGTTTTATGCACAGCTGTGGCTGCATTTAAAAAACCTCCTCCGATGCAGAATACTGAGTCCCACGGCACTGGCACCTCAGTGGCTCTGTACAGCACCAACCCAGGACTCCCTGTGTCTGCATCAGGAACATGGTGTAACAGGAATTGATCACTGGAGCAAAATGAGAGCTAGGGCTGAAGACATATCTCAGACATCTTGACCTTCTGTATTTGTCTTTTGCTTCAGACCAGCTAGCCTGGTCCCACAGACTGAACGTCCATTAGGGGCTGGAGTACCTAGGTGTGCAACTGGAACTGGAACTCAGCAAAGTCCTTCTGTGTTTCTTACACCTATCTTTAACTGGTCCCACTGTCCTCAAATTTAAAAAAAAAAAAAAGAAGAATCTTTGCATGTTCAAAATTCATTTGAATATAAACTTCATGTTAGCCTTAACACAGTATTTGAGACAGAACTCATTAACTTATAAAACAATCAAAACAGCACGGGATATACCTACGTGAGTTTGAAACGTAGTGGAGGATGTCATAAGCATTGGTGTCTCTTTGGTTTTTCCCTGTCTTCAAGTGTGAAACTTGGAATTGTTTTAGTTTTTCTTCAAGATTTCCAAAACTCAGCAGAGACTCCATAGGAAGCCAAGTAAAAAACTTTTCTTTAAAATCATCAGGAACAGCACATTCCTGAAGGAAAAGTGAAAAGACTGGCCGGTTGTTTTCTTCTATATCAGTCCGCAGAAAATATGATGGATAACCTTGTACAAAGTACTTTGACCCCATTTTTTTAGCTTTAACATTAACTCTCCACCAAGGACCAACTAATGGAAAACGTCCAACAACTTCATACTCCTTTTTGGAGCCCTCTTCTTGTATAACAACTGAATCATGAAAAAGAAAATTAAATCATTGTTAATTGATAGTCGTAAAGATTCAAAGTTCAGTTTGATTAAAAGAGTTTTGTTTGTTCAAAGTTTATTTTTGTCTTTTGTATAAGTTGCAGTAGTAGAAGCGAAGAAGCGGTTTTCATAAACTTCCTGATGTCAGTCTTTCCAGAAGTATTTAAAAACAAAAGTAAAACCAATCTCAGAAAGAAGCACTAAAACTACTTCTCAAAGTGTCAAAACTACAAAATTAAACTTGTGTGTGTTTATTAAGCCAATTAAACACACTGGCATATGGTTTAATATCACATCATTTATGCCAAGTTAAGTTTGCAAATCAATTTTAAATGGCTTTGCCACAAATTTCATCATGGTGCCTGCGTTCCCTTTAGATACATTTGTATACCAAATATTCCTGAAATTGAAACCACCAAAACAACAAGCAATTCATACAACAAACTCTCAGCATTTTGTATGACCTGGTTTGCCTCCTCTTTCCCTCACTGAAATAAACACATCATTCCTCAATCCACAGTCAAGGACTAAATGCTACGAGCAGAACAAAGCTAGCACCTGCGTTTAGCAGGACCTCTTTCTCACCAAACCAGAGTACCAGCAGCTCTCAGGTCTACAACACCTCGTCTATATGTTTTCCTGCTGTTACCTAGCTCAATTTAGCCACTTTTTAAACAATTCTCAGACAAAATATTCTTGCTAGACAGAAGTTGCTCCAACGTCACCTGCTTTCCTAAGTACTAAATAGAAAGTAAGGAATCATGTCAAGTATCAGCACTATCATGTATTACAAAGGAAAAAAAATATATATATTTTTTGATGTAAAGTTAACTTGAGTGGAAAAACTTCTTGTTTTTCTTACTGTTGCGATACTGTGGCCATACAAAAGCCCAAATTACACCACCTGCGTGAGACCTATAACCTCCTCCGGATCATCCTCCCTCTACCTGTGAATTCAGTAACGGGGGAAGCCGCGAGTTCCGATTTGATTTGCTTTGCTTTGCTTTGCTTTGCTTTGCTCTGAAAACGTCCTACGTGAGCAGCCAAAGGCCTCCCGTCCCGGCGGGGCGGCAGCCGGGGACCAGCCCGCCCGCCCCTCCGCACCCGGACGAGTCCAGCCCACTCCTTTCAAACGCAGCGCCCCGCGCCGAGCCCAAACCCGCCTCTGAGGGACACCGCGGGCTGCCCGCCCGCCCGGCCCCGCTCCCCACCGCCCCTCACCGCCTCGGCGCGGGGGCAGCGCAGCCGCCAGCTCCGGCCCCGAAGCCTCCAGGAGCGCAGCCTCCTCCAAGTAGGGCTCCTCCTCGGCTTCCTCCTCGGTCTCCCCCTCCGAGTCCGCCGCCCGGCGCGGAGGGAGCAGCGTCCCCCGCAGCTCCACCACCACCCCCCACCGCTTGCCGGACGCCATGCCGCCCCGGCGGGATCACTCCGCCCAGCCCCGCGCCCGGCGCGGAAGGAGACGTGGGGTGGGAGGGCGCGCCGAGGCCCGTCCTCCGGCGCCCTTCTGAGGCGCCATCCTCAGGTGCCATCTTGAGGCGCCATCCTGAGGGGAGCCGGGGGCTGTGGGGTGTCGGTGAGAGCCGCGGCCCCGCTCTCCTCCTGGCGGTGGCGGGGCAGGCTGAGGAGGCAGATGAGTCGCGGTGAAGAAATGGACGCCACTGGCGCCTGTGCATCCGGCGGGCAGAGATTCGGTGGTGGTGCCGCCGCTGCCGCCATCTTGCATCGAGGGTCAAGCCCTGACCCCCAGCTCTCGCCCCGCCATCGTTGGCAGTCGTGCGTGGGGAACCAACTGCAGAAAGAGCGCGGTTTTTTATAAATCAGCGGTAAATCGGTGTCTTTACATGACCCCAGTTGCAAAACCATCAAATCATAAAATCAGATTTCCAATATATCCTATTATATTTCACCCAGCTGCCCCCCGAAGTCATGTAATATTACATATAACTGGCAAATCGTTTTGCAGGAGGTCTTAATTTAACACCATCTGTACTTCCCGGTACTGTCACCTCAGCAGTTCACATAGCTCCTCAGTCTTCACTTTTATTAACACAGATATAGCTCCTCAGTCTTCACTTTTATTAACACAGCAGGTCTTTGCTTTTTCTGAAACTTTATCAAACAGTAGTTTCATGTTTTCTTGCAGCTCATCAATGAAAATACCAAGCCATGTCATGCTTAGTATTGATCTCTCCTGAAGTCCACCAGAAAACTTGATATCTGTGATGAAAGCAAGTATTTCTAGGATCTATTTTAAACTGGTTTTCACTGGTTAGTAGTTAAGAGGTTAATATTTGTCATGTCATTATGCAGGTTTGTTTTTTTAATAAAGTGTCATAGTTATATTTCTGAATGTTCACTCCTATCAGCTAGTATATCTTTTTGTCAAATAATCAAGTTTGTTTGATAAGGTTTATTTAAAAAAAAAAATGATTTTGCTGGCTCTTGTGTTTTCATTTGCCCCCACTTTAATTTTTTAACTGTATTTTCTTCCAGTTTCTCCTTTGTTTTGCTTTGCACTGATGTCACACTAACTAAACTGGAGGCTGCTAAGGATGCCTTGCTGACACTTCAGAGTACTGGGATGCAGGTTAAAGGAAAGGCAAAAGCAGTAGGTGCTGGGGCAAAGGCTGGTGGATTCATCTGTTTGAAATTAAGTAACTGGGTGTTTTTGCACCCCAGACCAAAGTGCAGCGTAGAAACACTCAATATTACACTAAATATAATACACCAGTCTAGACGCAGCAGCAGATAGTTTGCCCAGCTTCTGAGAAGCTGTCAGCAGCATAGGGATGCCCTTCAAAACAGTAGCAAATGCTGTTTGTACATATGTTTAGAAAAAGTGCTATGTAATAAAATACATCAATACACAACATCTCCTGGTCTTCTGGCATTTTTTTTTTTTTCACAGTTTCATGACTTCTTCCTCTGTATGATCCAGGAGGCCCTCTGCCCACAGGACTATCCTACAGAGAATGGCCCCCTCTTCACCACCTTCCTCCTTACAAATCTGAGAGGCCTTTAGCTCAATCACAAACAGGAGCGTGGACTCTCCCTCTGATGTGGTGTGGTTGTCTGCCACTTCTCCATTTCTGAGAATACCTACATTACTGTGTCAAGTAATATCTATAAAAAGACAGAGACATGTAAATACAACTTTTACAGTTTTTAAAACCAGCTGCAAGTCTCATGCAAACATAGAGTCTTGAAATAGTTGTTTTCCATTCTTGTGTAAGTTAACTTTAAATAATGGAATTCTTTCTCCAGCCTAATTCACAGATAACGAAATAACTCCTTTACATGGCATGCTGAAAACACATGGCCTATAGTTGGGAGACGGAGGAGGGTAAAGAGACATTCATGTTCATTTAAAAATTTAAAGCACTAGATTACTGAAGAGCTTGAGAGTGTTACGCAGTGATACATTTGAACTGGTGCCTTAGGATACTTTTTTCTTATGAAACACCATTTCACGTTTAACTGTGTATTTGTGTAAGTGAAACTGGATGTCTGAGTGCCCCAGTCTATTCTGAAAATACAAATACAATACCGTATTCAGCAAAGCTGACTCCAGAATTTCCTTGTCTTTCTACAGTCTGTACTGTACATGCTGAGTTCCTGCACGGTGTCTTTTGTTTCCATTCCTCTGCCATTCAAATAAGGAAATACCCTATTTTGTAAAGACTGAGGAACAGATACTGAGGGTTAGATGCATCCTGATTATGAACGGCTTTCTGTGTGCCCAGCTTTAACTAGGTAGGCCTTGATTTTCAAAAATGTGACTATTTTCTGCTCAGGTAAAGTAAGATTGGTTTTCTAGAGCTCAGTGGCAAAACACTGAGAATTAGAAGATCCTTTTGAAAATTTGGGACTAAATGATTTGCTCATCTCGAAAGTGTAGCCAAGTTTAAGGTTCCCATCTGCTTGGTTCTCTTTCTTCCCCTTTCTTAATACTGCTACCCATGCAGTTAGAGAATAGAAGCTAAAGTAAATCTTCAATTTTATGAAGTCAGTGGTAAAATTGTTAACTCTAATCCATGAAGGATTCCATCCCTGAAAGTCATAAGAGTGAAAAATAGAAAAATAAATAAGCAGTTGTGTAGATGTAGAAACTTACAACACGTATGTGCAAAAGATTGTTAAGCATTAAAAAACAGATGAGCACAAGGCCAGGAGATTGAGTCAAAAGTCACTCTGTCATGAAGGTTTTAAATCATAGTTCGAAAAATACTTTGAAATCTTAGATCAGCTTTAGGGACTAGCTTTTTCTCCATTATGTCTCACTTTAAATCCCACCCCAAAACCCAAGAATGTACAGTGAAAGGAAAACACGCTTTTGACAACCCTATGATTTTACCTTCTAATGCACCATAATATCACTTCCATGGTAATTCGTGACTCTTGGAGTATAATCTGACATGACACTAAAGAAGTTATTACTCTTCTGTCCATGGGGAAAAATCTGTTTATAAGTTTGAACTCAACATTGCTGCATTCAGTGAGAAAAAAAAACAAAGCCTTAAAAAGCAAATAGTCACAATGAACAAGGAGAGATCATTTGCGCTGTTTCCTACTGCTTTGTGTCTTGACACACAGCAGTAAGTTTTGACTTAATAGAAAGTATGCACATGTAAATCTCCATCCTCTGAATGGGTATTTGAAATCCTACTCTGAAAACAATTTTCAGAACATTCTGGCAAGTATGATTCGTACACTGAAGGGTTATATTAATGCCAGCCTACGGAATTAAATAAGACTTGCTACGTTTCTTAGTGTTGCCCCATACCAGACATCCCCCTTTAAAGGGATGGCTCATCTTTGAATCTGACTAGGACCAGCAGGGGATCCCCCAGTCTCAAATTCCTTTGGATATACATTGCTCCATGATACTCTGCTGGGGTTCAAGAGAGACTTCTGTCTGCCGAACTCCAGAAGTCAGCAAGTCAGAGTTTGCCATCCAGGAGCACCAACTGGAAGCCCTCAGAGCATGAACTGAGGTGATGTATCTAGCACAGCAGGAGACAGGAGTAGCAGAGAGAGGTTTAAACTTTCATTCCGCTTGGGATGGAAGGGTTTCATTTTTTCCCTATGATCTTTCAGGGTGTCATAGAGGAATCATCTCCACAGCAATACTTTTGAGGAAGGGAAATTCTGGACAACAGCAACACAGCCTAGCTGCCTTTCGAGATGCTAAATTCAAGTGCTGGACCAAAATGACAACGAGCTATCCTTACGGCTAGTAATGAGCTTCCTGAGAGACGACATGAAGCCCAGGAGTTGTCAGCCACCACCAGCTACCACCGTATTAGAGGATGGTGATTGTGGTGCTCTAGGGATCCCATAAACAGTTGGCAACATACAGAAGCTTTTGGAGGGTAGTGGCTAGTGAGAAGAGGCTGCAAATTGACTGCAGATAAATTAAAACTGTTACTTACCAGAGTTTCTCACGTGAAATCTCTTCACAGATGGATGACATTTCTATAGATAAAGCAGAAGGCGGTAATTCCAGAGACATGATTTTTTCCCAGACAATGGATTTCAGAAGATGTCAAACATGCCATGAATGAGATATATATGTCTCACAGGCTTTATTAGGTATTGAACTAGCAGAGCTTGAGACGTATGTAAGCATTTAAAAAAAAAAAAAAAGGTGAGAGATGTATAAGAACATCATATTGCAGCATGCTTAATCATTGTCTAGAAGAGGGGTTTGAGGGGCTTTGTGAAAACTTGAGAGTTGTAGGATAGATCCCCTCAGTCAGGACAGACAGAGTGATTTGACTTGGAACGCTGCCAACATAAACCATAGCATTAGTGATAATGTTGAACCCTGCTTGGAAAACATGCTTGGCATTTTCAGAGCTTTAGGAAGCAAAACATGTTCTTTGCATTTAATTCAGTGTTCCTTTACACAGGACTGCTCCCTATTAAATGCTGCACAAGAATCTAAAAACCTACACAACTTTCATTATCCAAAAAAACTGATGAAGTCTTGATGCAGTGTGCAGAGCAAAAGGTTTGAAATCATTGTCAAAAAAATCCTACTTAAAAAGACCTGCTTCTAAAAAGTAGAGGAGAAATAAACACATTTGGTAATGTCATAAAGCTCATAGTCCTCTATATAGACTATATAGTCTTCTATGTAGCCCTCTACAAATTTCAGCAATTACTTTTTTGGTGTCTTGGCTACTGGTTTGTGTTTCATAGTTTGTGTAGCGTCTCAGCATCCTCTCATTCTTTTGTATGTAAGAAACATAAGACAGAAGCTGTTTCAGTGCTCCCTCAGGGCACATGGTATTTAAGGTAGAAGCCAGAATTGCTGTGTCAAATAGCAAATTCTCAACTATTATTGAATATAATCAAACCTTTATTGTGTGCGTTTATGCTCTTCATGTGCCCAGTCTAGTAACACTGTAAGAAACTAATGCTGTGTATAGTGAAAGACCACCTATCTTGATCTTGGGCATTAATGCAGCCACCCTAAATTTCCTCAAACTGTCTAAAAGGACTTTGCCAGTGTTTCACAGCAGACATCAGCTTGTGCTGCAGCAAAAGTGATTGACAGACAATAACGTTATCTCTTGATCAGATGCAAAAAAGACAAACATGATTCAAGGGCCTATGAATATTAAGTAGGACTAGTGTTTCTAGGAGTTGTTAATCAGTGTGTTATTTTTGCAGTGAG